TGGCGGGCGCTGCCTGCGCGTCACACCAGGCTCTGCCGCGCTGCGCTGCATGGTGGGGCCATACAGAGAAGGGCTGGGGGGTGGTGGTGAGCAGGGAGCCCCCCGTGCCGGGAGCCGCTGAGGAGCGGGAGGTGCTGTTTTTAGGCAGCTGCGCTTCCAGCCCCAGCCACTCCCTGCCTGTAAATCTCATGGAGATGACAAATGGCGGAGGGGGTTTTGGGTTGGCTCCGAGCAGAGGTGCTGAGCAGGGGCTGTGCTCTCCCTCCGGCAGAGTCGTTCCGACTGGGGGCCAGTGGGGTGTGATGCTCAGGAGCACCGGAGCCATGATGAGAGCAGGGGGATAGGGCTTGGGGGTCACCAAGGCCCCCCTGGAGGGACTGCCCAAACAGGGGGGCTGCAGGCTTGGTGCAGAGGGTGCTGGCTGCTGACTCCAGGGATGCAGCGCCGCAGGGATGGTGGAGCAGCCGTGGGGCTGCGGTGCTCACTGGGGATCTCCAGCATGGCCATGGGTGCCCGGGGTGGGGCATCGAGCACGGTGTGGCAGTGTGGTGGTGCCGGCCGTGCCGCAAGCCTGTGCGGGAGCGGGAGCGGGAGCAGCAGCAGCAGCAGCAGCAGCAGCTCATTGAGGCTCTTTGAGGAAGCAATCAGTGGGCGGGCAGGAAGCTCATACCATTCATTACTGACGCCGGGCCGGCAGGAAGGGGAGCCTGCGTCCCCACAGCGCCCTGCCGCAGGGGCCTGTGCCCGCCGAGCCGGCACCACGCGTCCCAGACACCCTTGTGACACCCCAAAGCAGGGTCACGGTGTGTGCCAACATGGAGGACACCCCCAGTGTGCCCACAGCTCCCTGAACCCCACAGGGTGGCTGTGCCCCTGCCCAGCATCCATGGGGAGGGAAGCAGAGTGGAGGGCACTGGCCCCATTCACCCCCACATCAGCAAATGTGTTTTGGGGTCCCCCATCCTAAATCCCGAGGAGGTGAGAATCTTGCGACTGCATAAACCTCATTTTCAAAGCACCCCAGCTGTGCCGGGCTGTGCTCGGATGCTCAGATCTCGAAGGGAACTGGTGGCAGGAGGCATGGGTGGCCCTGTTGCCTCTCTGTGGTCCTCAGTGTGCCGCCTTTGGGTACCTGCCATTCCCTTCATCTTGGGTTTTGCCTTCCCCCCCAGGCCCCTTTAATTAGATCAAGGAGCAGCAGGGCTGGAGCCAGGAAGGGGCCTCAATGGGTTATTGTTGCCCTAAATTGTAACCAGCACCGGTGGGGTTGGGTTACCAGCTCCGACTTAGGGTCAGTGACCAGACCCTGCCATGCTCCCAGCAGCTGGCACAGCAGTGCCTGGGGACAGGGCTGTCACCACACGCTGAGGCCAGCGAGAGCAGCAGCTCGCTTGTGTCACTGTGTCTTTCAGTGTCCTGAAAGTGTCCCCATGGAGGCTGGGGGTGCGCGCTTGCTCATGGGACAGTGGGCATTCACCCATCTGCCCTGCGGCCAGCTTGGGTCTGTGGCTGGGTTGATATAGCCAAGGCGACCAGGTCTGCAGAGGTCCTGAGAAGCCACGTCCCCATAGTGTGTGCCACGACTGGGCAGCTCCCCATGGGGCAGACTGGTGGTGGGGGCTGAGAGATGGGAACAGGCAGACTCCCACTGCCCTTCATGGTGTAAAGTCCACCAGAGCTGGGAGGTGCTGGAGGTGGTGCAGCAGGATGTTTGCAGAGGGATTTGGGGCTGTGTGGCTCCCCCAGTGCTGAAGCAGGACATGGAGGGTCCTGGGTGGTTTTGCGGGGATGCTGCCCAGGGGTGCTTGGCCCTGGCACCTGCTGCCCCTGCCCCAGGACGAAGCCTGCAACTGAGCTGGCTCTTGGGGGACCAGATCCAGCCCTCTTGAGCAGCAAGGCCCGTAGCCCCACCAAGGCATGTGTCCCCACCATCGTGCTGCCACGTCTCCCTGGTCAGCAGCTGTAATAGTACGATGGCCGGTCCTACTCCCACCCTGCCTGGCCATGCCACTTCTTCAGTGCTTATTCCTGACACTCAGCAGCCCTTTTGGTCATGCTGGGTGTCATGGGGGTCTCTGACAACAGCCACTCCAGTGGTCAGATCTCAGAGGTAGAGCCCTGGGCAGGACAGCTCCATCCCTGTCCCCATCCCTGTCCCCCTGCAGACCTCTGCCCTTGCTCCTTCTTCCCATGGATGCCTGGGCTGGCAGCTGCTTGCCATCAGCAGGGAAGGGGCTTTTCCTGCTGCTCCCACTTGGCTGCAACCTCAGACACAAGGAGAGGGGAGAGGCTACTCCATCAGGTGCCACCAGAGCAGAACCTATCCCTGCAGAGTGAGATGCGCTGGGCAGCTGCACAAAGGGGTTAATGGCAGGGCGGCCGCCTGGCCCGGTAATTACGGGTGTAAAAATAGCCATGTGCTGCAGGGCCGTGTGGCGGGAAGGCAGCAAGCGACGGCAGCATCGAAATCGCTCCCAGATGGGCCTTGGACTCAGCCCACCGCTGCCAACCGGCATACTCTGGCCCTGGCTTCTGCAGCTTTCCAGGAAGCCAGCGGGATTTCTGCCTCTCCACATGCTCTTCCTGGCAGCCGACGCTTTGCGGCAGCACATGGGGCTGTGGGACAGGCACACGCCTGCCGTCACCCCAAGGGAGTGGGGATGGGACCCCCAGCACTGCATTGAGGCAGCACATCCCACCCAGGGCTCCACTCTGGCAGTGGGGACCTGGGGGATCCAGGAGGACCAGGCTTTGGTTTCCATGCGGCCATGCCTGAGCCAGGGATGCTTCTCTGAAGGCCAAAGACCTCCAGGCTTGCTGCTGCTGGGCTGCAGGATGCTGCCTGCGCCTGGCCAGGCTGGGCCAGCACTGAGGGCAGCAGGACTTGCCCTGGTGAAGCCGGAGGCTCCTCCCGTTGTGGCTCCTGGCCGAGCCCCCCATCCTGCCGGTGGCTTCTGGCTGGGGCTCTCCATTACCGGCCCTGCTGGATCACATAGCAAGAGGGATTTTTTTTGGGTTCATTCCATGGGGTTTTGCAATCCTTCCCCAGCGCTGATTCAGCTCACAAGTATTAGCAGCGCCGCACGATGTGCCGCTCTTGGTGCACACTTGGGGCTGCCAGGACACAGGGGGCTTTTGCGCTAGGGTTCAGGACCTTGCAGGGGCTCAGGTGCTAGAAGGGCACATTCTGGGCCCTGCTGAGCTCCCGCAGAGCTTCCGGGGTGCAGCCGTGGGTGCTGTGGGGGTCTGAGACTCACAGGTTGTCAAGCCCTGCCCTGACCACAGCATCCCCATACTCCTTGTGCTGAGGCTGAGCCTCGCTGACCCCCTTGTGCTGCTCCTGATGTGGCTGCTGGCAACTGCAGCCCAGCCCCTTCCCCTTTCCTTGTCATCCATTTCCACCGGGCCACACGAAAACCTTGGGCTGTGGGTTCCCACTGCACTGCACCTGGCAAAGCCAAGCCCCTGCCTTGCTCCTGCCACACTGGGCATACCATGTGGCATCTCTAATATGAATGGAGGCACTCTGGAGCTGCTGGAAGCTTCCCCAGAGTGATGGGACCTGCTGAGCTGTTTGGGGATCCCCGGCACCCACCTGGCCTGTGGGGGTCCCCCTACAAACCTCCAGGGGAAAAAGAGCTTCATTAGGGGAAGGGCACATCATGACACCATGCAGCGGGAGGAAAAGCACTGGGCAGGGAGTGAAGGAGCTCAAGGGCTGCTGTGAGGTGCCTGCTGCCCATCCCTTGCAGCCAGTGCCAGTGAGGGAACACACAGGGGCCAGCCTTGAGCTCAGGTGGGCTCAGGGGGCTGCAGTGGCGATGGTCAGAAGCACCCGGAGCGAGGCCACAGCTCCGCCGGGGACTTTTCTTCTCTCCTCCTCCTCCTCCTCGCGAGGCTGGAAAATACACAAAGCTCACAGTGAAAATATTTACACAGCAGCAATTTTTGGAGGAATTTGGGATGTTAATTTGAAAAATCTGTGGGGAGAGGACCACAATGGGCCCTTTGAGCGGGCGAGCGTGGCCATCGCACTGAGCCGCCCGCGCCGGCGAGGGGCCCCTCCTGCCGCTGCGCCGGCCCTAATGGGAGCCAGCCCTGCCGGAAGCCCACCTGGGAGCCGGGGGGGCTGCACCAGACGGACCCGCTGCCGCCCCGCACCCCTAATTGCATCCAGAGCCGCCGGGTGAGCGGCACCGGGGCCGTGTCAGGGTCAGGGCTGTATCCTGCAGCAGAGCTCTGGTGCAGCCGGCAGCTCGCGCGGCATGGCGGTGACCCTCGGCTCAGCTGGCGGCAGCCGTGGTGCTTCAGCCCGCTCATGCTCATTCTCTCCAAATCAAACATACCTCGGCGGGCAGGGCCCCAACCTGGAAAATTCCAGCCTGAAAGATAAAGGATTGGAAAACGATTAAAACCAGAGGGCTGGAGCAGAAACCACTTGGCAGCGGGAACCTGCTGAGCGCCGACTCCCAGCCCTCCCCGGCACACAAAACTGGCTGTTCCCGGGGCCAGTTGGAGGGGGCTCACTGCAGGGCCTGAGCCTTGGCTCTGGCTGCAGTGCTGGGCTGGGGGGACCCTGAGCAGGCTGACACTTGTCATGGGCGCTCTGGGGGTCCCGGTGCCGCTGGGGGTGACGTCAGGAGGTTACAAAGGTTGGGCTGGGTTGTTTGTCCCACAGCTGGCCCTGGAGCCATCTGGCAGGCAGGGAGGGATGAAGTAAGGCTGGATGATGCACAGGGCAGGGGCCGATTTGAAACCGATTGCCTGAGTTTTGGGAACACCTCCTCAGCCCCATGGTGGGGGGCAGCGCTGTGGGGGTGAAGCCTCCTCAGTGCCACCGCCTACAGAGTCGGGAAAACTCCCCCCTTCATCACCCTGACTCATCCCCACGCTTGCCAACAACAACTGGAGGACACGGCTGACCTTCCCGCTCCTCTGCAGGGGACAGGCTGCACTGCCCGCACCCCTGCCCGCCAACGGGCAGCGCCCACAAAAGCTGCTTGGGGCTGTGCAGAGCTTTTCATTGTTGTGATTTTATTTTTTTTTACAAAAAGCCACCCTTCCGGCCCGCCTTACAAAATAGATGGACACAAACCTGTGCTAGAAAACAACGACAACAACAACAAAACAAAAGTTTCCCAGAAGAAATGGGAAATAACCTTGTATAAATATCTCTTTGAGTTCTTAAAGCTTCAATTCCCGGTTTGCCTGCTCGGCGCTTCCTTCAGCCCAGGGTTCCCGAGGGTCCCAGCACCTCGTCCGGGCCTGATTGCTCACATCAGCTTCCAGGGAGTTGAGAGGCATGGGCCGTGCTCTGCTAAAGGACCCTTGTTACCAGCACGTGGATGTCCCTTAGCCGAGTCACCGGCTGCTTTCTTTTTAGCAGTAGCCAAAAAAACCCATCCAAACCCCAAATTAAAAAACCCAACCCCCTCTTGGTCGCTACCCACATTCTACAGAGTCACAGAAACCAAGGCACTGAGCAGTGGAATTGTCTCCTCCGAAGTGTGGCAGCCTCTCAGAAATTGCACGTTATGGGTTTGGGGTTTTGCTGCCTGAACTCAGTTAACTCCTTGCCATTCCTCACCCCTGGAGGGACACTGCTGGGTGCCACCACCAGAGCTCAACCCTTGTCTATCAGAGCTGCCCTCGCCCCACAGCGCAGTCCCGCCTGGCTCAGAAGTAGGAGGGTTTGAGCCCCGGGGTGTTGTTGTTGCTGGGGTAGTGTGACTGCATGAGCGGGACCTCGCACTCGGAGCCGCTGGAAAGTATCGTTGCCTCTGGTACCTTGCAGCCGTGGCTGCTCAAATCACCATTTTCCAGGCAGGCTTTCACCCCTTCCAGCTCCAGGGGGCTGGCATCCACCCCAGGGCCAGCATGGGCCTTCACCCTGCGGTGCCGGCAGTAGTACATGCCAGCAGTCACCACCACTACGAGCAGCAGCACGGCGGCTAGTGCAGGGACGATGATGAGGGTGAGGTTGTTGTCCTTGCCCTGGGTGACAGGGGAGTGCTGCTGGTGGCTCGCTGGCAAGGTCTGCACCTCAGCACAGTGCTCCTCCTTGGAGACCTTCTCCCCCAGGGGCCCAATACATATGCGATAGGTGCAGTTGGGCTTCAGTGCCCGCACCGTGTACTCAGAGAGTGAAGCTGGCAAACGCAGCATAACCGGCCGCTTGTCCAACCCAGAAAGGTTTCGGTAGCTCAGGCGAATGCCCTTCAGCTGCGCTCTGGACTGGACATAGTTCTGCAAGTCCACTTTGAGGGAGGTGCTGCTGACCTGTGTGATGCTGATCTGCCGGCTGGGCGGTGGGGCCTGTGTGACTGGGGATGGTGTTGTCCCCTTCACCTCTGCCTCGCAGTATGCCCCAGTGTAGCCCACAGGGCACAGGCACTCCAGGAGGTTTTGGACACCCAGGTGGCAGGTGCCACCGTTGAGACATGTGCGAGGGGGACAGATGGGTGGTGGGGGAGTGGTGGGTGTTGGGGCGCCACTGAAGGGCACTGTTGTGGAGCTGCCCTGGGGGTCCCCAGCCCCTAGCGTGGGAGCAGCAGTGCTGGGCTGAGGCGCCAGGTGGCTGCTGGTGGGGAGTGGGGCAGGAGGTGGCAGCGTGGTGGTGCGTGCAGTGGTGGGGCTGGTGGTGGTGGTGGGGCAGCCAAAGTCTGCATACTGCAGGTGCTGGAGGAGCTTGCCGGAGTTTTTCGGGGGGAAGTGGCAGCGTGTCTCCTCGGGCCGCCGCAGGACCACGCTGCTGGCATTCACCCACTGCACCAGCCAGCTCATCTGGCAGATGCAGTTGAAGGGGTTGCCGGCAGCCGTCATGGCCCGCAGCCTGGGGAAGAAGCTGGAGAAATCCCGAGGGATGGTGTTGATGTTGAGGTTGCTGATGTCCAGTTCCTGGAGATTGTGAAGGCTGTGGAAGTCCTCCACTGGCAGCTGGGAGATGCGTGCGTTGCCAGCCAGGCTGAGCTTGGTGAGGCTCCCCAGCCGCTGCAGCACCGCTGGGACGCGCTCCAGCAGGTTGTCAGAGACATCCAGCTCATGTAGGTTGTTCTGGGCCTGAAAGAGCTCCTCGTTTAAGCTTGTTAGACCCAGCCCTGCAATCTTCAGGGACTCGATGTTGACAGCGTGGAAGGCCCCCGGTGCGATGGCAGAGATCTTGTTCCAGCTGATGTCCAGCAGCAGGAGGTTGGGCAGGTTGAGGGGAGGCACGGCCCAGAGCTGGTTGTTCTGCAGCTTCAGCTCCAGCAGGTTCTCCAAGGTGTCGAAGGCAGCAGCATGGATGTGCTGGATCCTGTTCCTCTGCAGGTAGAGCCGCTCCAGCAGCCGCAGCCCATGGAAGGTCTCATTGGTGATCTCCTGCAGCTGGTTGGACGACAGGTCCAAATTGACAAGCTCTGTCAGGGGCTGGAAGATGTTTTTCTGGACGGTGGTGATCTTGTTTTGTGAGAGGTCCAAGAGCTGGAGTGCAGGCAGGCCCACAAAGCTGTCCTCACTGAGCGTCGTGATGCCATTCTCAAAGACGTAGAGGGAGAGAGTGTTAGGAGGCAGCCCCTGGGGCACAGTTTGGCCCCGTCTGGCCGCGCACAGGATGGTCTTGGGGTCTTGACACTGGCAGCCTGCAGGACATGCTCCAGCCAGCTCCCCGCACCCCAAGAGCAGCATGCAAAGGATCAGCTGGTTCATGGTGTCAGCTCTGCGAGAGAAAGAAACCCAGTCAAGGTCAGGGTCCAGGCCCTGCTGGGGGGACCCTGGGCTGGCAGGGCTGTGGGGTGCCTCAGACCCCCCCCCCCGCTACCCCTGCACCACATCTGGGGTGTGAGAGTCATCTCCCTGTGCCCTGCCCAGACCCTTCAGCCCCAAATGGGCTGCAGAAGGAGTGAGAATGACCCTGCTGTGCTGCTGCCTTCTCTGTGCTGCTGCGACCAGGAAGCTACATGTGGGCTGCTCATCCTGGCTTTATGCTGCTGCCCCCCCAACCTAGATCCCCAGGCTTAGGGATGTGGGACCTTTGCATACCTCAGGTTTACCAAGAGACAGATTCCACCCGCTTTGGTCTGGTCTCTTGGGGCCGTACACTCAGCAGGGTGCAAATCAAACACGGGTGGGAGCCTGGCTGACCTTCCCTGACCTTCACACCATCTGAGTTCAGTTTAACCCTTTGCTTGTGCCACCATCCCAGCAGCTATCTCCCTTGGGGACAGGGACACTCAGGGGTGACCCAGGCACAGGCTGAGGGCTGAAGGAGCTGGGTGGTCCCCTGCCCCATGGTTCCCCCATACACTTCAGAGATGGCTACGTCCCTGCAGAGCCCCTGCCAAGCTGGCTCATGTCCCCTGGGGGTCATGGCTGCCTTGCTGTTCACCTTCCTGCCAGCACCTGGGTGCTCTGCACAGCACCCTGAGCTGCATCCTCATCTCTCAGGGATGAGGACAGCAGGGATGGAGTGGAGGATGCTCTCGGGGTGAAGCTTTAACCACCCCTGCCCCTTCTCTCAACCCCTTCTTTCAGCCCTTTTTTAATGACACTCCTAATTAGCACAGACTGGGCTAGGGACCCATGATCTCCTGCCACCCCCATCTCAGGGGCATGTGGGGTTTAGCAGAGAGAGGGTCCCAGGCAGGGAAGAGGCAACCCCCACCAGGCTGCCTGAGCTGGGGGTGCTGCTGGCACCCTGCTCCATCAGCCCCTTCCCCACACCTGGCCTTCTCCACCTCCTCCCCTGCCCAGAGCTGCTCAGAGCTCCAGACAAACACCCCTGCAGCTCACAAGGGGCCCCCTCCGTGTGTGTGGGGCTCCAGGGTCACGAGCAGCACGTGCCGCCTGCCCCAGCGGTGCACCAGCACCAAATCCTGTACCGGGAGGGACTCACCCATGCTGGGTCCCCCTTGCCATGCAGCCTGGCCAGCAGAGCCCACCCATGCCACAGAGCCCCCCATGCGGGACTCACCACAGCAGGAGCAGGTCGGGGTTAATGCAGCAGCAGGCTCTATCCTTGCCTCTTCCCCAGCTGCCCCCCCCCAGGGTGGGGTGCACCGAGGGTGGGGTGGCCCCGCTGCTGGGCAGGGTCACCACAGCCGCCTGAGTCACTTGGCCCGAACTGGCCCTGCCCCACTGCGACCTGTGCCGTCAGCCCCTGACACCACGTGCTGGGGGAGCTGTGCTGATCCTGGGGTCACCACCACAGAGACCTTCCCTGACACCCCCTGCCCAGCCCCGAGCCAGGGGGTGCTGCTGCTCCCCCACATCCACAGCCAGGCCATCAGTACCCAGCGCGAGAACCGAGTAGAGCCAAAACAGCATCATGGAGAACTTGAAGAGCAGTTTTGGGTCTAAGGGGGCTGGGGGCAGACCCAGCACTGCTCCCCACGTGATAGCCCTCGGGGTGGCTCCCGCAGCTACAGGGTGCTGGCTGGCAGGCAGAGCTCCAGTGCAGGGTGTGGGGGGCCATGCCCAGAGTCCTGCCACTGCTGTGCCGGGGTGGGTAGCGTCCGGCCAGGCCTGTGGGATGCTGGCGAGGCCAGGGCTGGTTTTGCAATGCCAGGGTCGGGTTTCGCTGACGTGTCCCGTGCTGCAACCAGCTGCTGACTCCAAGTCTCTCTCGTCCCTTTAATTACGCTGGCATTTCCTCCCCGCCTGCCAGGCTCCCTGCTCCGGGCAGGTTCGGCTGGCCCGGACAGGGCCACATATCCATCCCTGCTTTGCCAGGAGCACCAGGCAGGCTGGCACAGCTGCTCCACCCGCACGCCACTGACACCTCTCCCTCGGCATCACCCTGCTCCGCCGGCACACGCCGGCATCCTGCCTGTGCGCCGCCTCCGTGCTATGACACTACTTCAGGGGGTTAACCCAGCCCAGGCTGGCAGGGGTGCTTACCCCTTGGAACAGGGCAAAGGGGAACAACCTCCCCATGTCCCAGAGGGGTCCCCAAGAGTGGAGAGGGGGCCCCGGTTCTGCTGGAGGTGTTAGGACCGCCCTGCCAGCGGCCTGCTGCTGCCTTGGCTGGGCTCCCCCGCGCCTGCACCGCAGATATTTGCCGAATTATTCATATTTTCCGGCTGCGGGGAGGATCTGGGCTCAGATTCCCCCAGTCCCAGCTCAGCCTTTCCCTGCCAGCCTGCCGGGGCGGGAGCACCATGTCCCCCGCCTCCCTGCCTGCAGCCCCCCGGGCTGGGCTCTCCGGCTGCCTGCCCAGGGTGAAGGACTGAGCAGGGGATGCCTTGCGTTGCACCCACCACATGTTTAAGGATGAAGCCAACGCTGTCCCCATGCTGCAGGGTGGCACCTGCACAGGACAGGACAGAGGAGCCCTCTCGGGGGTCACTGCTCTTCCCCATAGCTCAGGGATGTGGCCATTCTCCCGGGGGAACCCAGCACAGCCGGGACATCCTTTCCCGCACCGGCGAGTGAGGCCCCGCAGCCAAACAAAGCCACCGTTGTTGCCAGCAGGCTGGTGGGCTGCCTCCTTGGCCAGTGGGCACCAGTGCAGGCAGGACAGGGCTCTGCACAAAAGCCAGGCCCTGGGTTCAGTCCCTGTCACTGCAGGGAGGGCCACGGTGCCTTCACTGGGCAGGATGTGGATGCTGCTTCCCTCATTTAACCCTCCCCAAAACAAGCCTATGTCAGCATATGCCCCTTCCTGTGCCGTGCTGGGGGGATGCAGGATTAAGCCCTTAATCCTCCTCCCCTTCAACCCACCCTATGCAGCCGCAGCTCCCACCTCCTCCCAGGCTCCCCTCCCTATTTAATTAAAGTTTCCGCAGCAGCCCTGGAGGAATGCAGCCTGCTTATTGCATTCCCCGGGGCGCTCACCGGCCCCTCTGTTGAGCTCCTGCCCCTTTGACCTGGCTCTGCTCCCCAGCTCAGGTGCTGGCAAGGAGAAAAACCAGCAGAGCCACTTTACCAGCAGCCAAACCGCCTTCGCAGGAGCCCAAACACCAGGGAGTGTTGGGAGGAGGCCGGCAATGCTGCCACGCGTGGCCCCAGCAGCACGGGCAGATTCCTACGGCGTGACTGGGGTGACTGTGGCTGTCCCCGGGCGTTTCCTCCTGCTGCGTCCCACTGACGGAGCCAGCCGGGCCAGCAGCACTTGCGTCAGGGCCACCCGGCGAGGCCTTGGCGTGGTGCGGGCAAAAACAGTCATTAGTGTCATCCTTGACGGTGGCACTGCCCAGTGCCCGTGTGCGCAGCGGCACGGCCCCGGCGGGGTCAGGCCAGTCCAGCCCCAGACCCAGAAAGATGAGACCTGCCGGTGTGAGGCATGTGGGCAAGAGCAGTGTATGTGGAGAACATGAGTGGGAGTTTCTGCTTGGGAAGAGGGGTCTAAGAACTGGAGCATCACTGCTGGGATGCTCTGGCTTTTGTGGCAGCTGCCAGCCTGGGATGGAGCCAGGCACAGAAAGGGACACTTACCCTGTGATGGCCCAAAGTCACACACAGAAGGAGTGACAGGGTGCCAGCACCCCCACAGTGCACACTGGATGACAATGAAACACGCAGGGAACTGGTGGCAGGAGCAGCAGTGGGATATCCCCACCGGCCAGGCTGGCCAGTGGCCCTGCTGGCACCCGTCCCCCTGTGCCAGCTGAGGGGAAACCCTTGTTGGCACTGGCCAGGGGCCCTGCTTGGCCCCATGGTGGGTCGGTAACTCAGGATGCTGGCCCCTGAGGACAGACAAAGGGAGGGCAGCCAAACCCCACCCCAGCCGAGCCCTCTGCTGAGGAGGGTGGTGGTGGACACCACTGCCAGCAGCTCCCACCTCTGCCTGACCCCAAAGAGAGAGCTCTTCCACCGTATCTGCCAAGACAGGGAGCGCATAGGATGGACCCAGCACCCAGTGATGGTTCTGTATGTGCCCTGAAGTGCTTCTGCTGGCAGGGTGGGTCACAGCCACCCGGCCACAGCTGGAGGGAGATGGGTTTCACATCGGCCCCAGCCGCATCCCTTCCCTGTCACAGGAGCAGCACCAGGTCAAGATCCCCAGGCCAGACCCTGGCGCATCCCCTGGCAGGATAGGCGCAAGCAAAAACGGGACCAGGGGCCATGCCTGCACCCTCCACCCTGCCCCCTGCAGTGCCGTCCCCCCTATGCTCAGGCCCACCCGGCCCCCTCGTCCCCACCACTCCCCGAACTCCCCGGTGCCCAGCACAGCCCCCCTCCCGCCCGTGGGCCGGCGCCCCACGAGCCCTCGGCCCCATGGCGAGTGCAGAGCCGGGCAGCCGCGACGGAGGACGCGGGACTCACCGGGCCGTGCCGGGCGGTCAGTGCATGGCGGCTGCGCCCGAGCTAGCGCTCCCCTCTGGCAGCGCCCGGCGCGGGGGGCGGCTTTAAAACCGCGGAGGGCGGGGCCTGCCCTCCCGCCGCCTTCCCATTGGCTGCGGGGGACAGGGGAGGAGGGGCGGGGCACGGCTGCCCCGAAGGCTACGCCCCCTGCGCACCTGGGGCCCGACAGGGGGCGGGACCCCCGGGACCCCCGGGACGCCCCGGGACTGCAGCGGGACCCCGGCAGCGCCCGGAGCCCCCGAGGCACCGGGACCTCAGCAGTGCCCGGAGACCCCAAGTCATTATGACCCCTGGCAGCTCCAGGACCCCGGGGCCCGGTAGCTGGAATCGCAGCACCCCCGGTGTTCACATCCATACGTACAGATACAGGTGCAGGTGCAGGCACCCTCCCCGTATCCCCAGCACCCCCAGTCTCCTGGCACCCCTGTAACACCAGGGGCTGGGTGTCCTTGGCACTCCCAGAGGCCCCTAGATCCAGCACACCCAGGATAACCAGAGACCCTGGCACCCATGGGCCCCAGTATCCCTGGCACTTGTAGAGCTCATGTCTCCAGCTGTGGAGGGACAGGGGGAGACTGGGTTGCCCTCAGTGCTGCCCTGGTGCTCCGGTCATGGCAGAGCTGTGCAAAGTGCCACAGGACAGCACTTCCCATTTGGTGCTGCAAGGACAGCACTGGCCAGGCTGGGACAACCTGTCCCAGCCCTGGACCCAGCGGTGGTGGCAGTGCTGGTGACAGTGACTGTAGCCAGGCAGGGGACCGCAGTGCCTGCCACAGCCAACTCCAGTGGTGTTTACCTATGTTATACCAACAGTCGCAGCACAGGACCATAGTGTGCTGGACACAGCCGTGCCTTGTGCCATCCTGTGGCAGCGCCAGGGTGTCCCTGCCATGGGGACCAGCTGGGGCAGTAGCACATCACAGTTTTGGTTTCACCAAATTTCCTCATAGCCACATGATGCAAAACATCAGCACAGCTCCATGCCCTGGGCATAACCACAGAAATGTCAACCGAAAGTAATAGATTGTCCCTTTGTTCTCTGCCTGTGGAGCTGCCTCCTCCACCCCTGCCAAGGGGAGGCAGAGAGGTGGCTTCATGGTTCTCCTCACCAACATCCGCTCCAGGCAGTGTTCCTAGTCACAGTCCCCACTGAGCATACCCTTGACCATCATCCCCTCCAGCCACTGAGCACTCCCCAGTCACTGTCCCCCCCATGTCCTGGCTGCCGTGCCCCCAGACACCAAGTGCTCTCCCCGCCATGGTCGCTTCTGGCCACAGAGCACTCCAGTCACAAGCTGGGACAAGGTGCAGGACAAGGAGCAGGGTCACACTCCAGCTGGCACAGCCCAGGCCCCAGGGCCCTCCTGGGGCTCCTGGCGCAGCAGGTCCGGGTGAGGTGAGCGGCATGCCGGGGTGTGCCATGCACCCGCCCCAAACTGGCCAAGCTGGCCCGGACAGCCCTGGGGCTCCCCTGCAGGTGATAGTGGCTTCCTCGAGTGGGGCTGGGTGCCATCACCGGGTGCAGGGTGCGGATCCAGGAGTGGGATGCCCTACAGCTGGGCACGGCTTCATGGCAGGCACCATGCAGCCAGTGCAAGATGCGGGCAGCAGTGGCATCCTCCAGACCTGTGACCCTGGGGTGGGACAGCGAGGATCTGGGGACCTGTACATCAGGGGAGCAGCCAGCACTGGCCCTGCCCTCCTGCCCCTTGCATGGCCTGATGATGATGCCCTGTGCTTCCCCAGGACAGGGTCTGGAGCATGCTCCAGTGGGAAAAGGTGCAGGACCCAGGACCCAGCCCTGCAGCCGTCAGGGTGCCACACTGATGGGTGCCCCTGCTCAGCTACCTCCTTCCCTTGCAGGGCGGCCATCCCACTGTACGATGCTGATACGGGGCTGCTGGTGATGGCAGGGAAGGTGAGGTCCCATGGCAGCAGGGTGCAGGGAGGTGTCTGTGGGTGCGGTGGGGTGGTCCCCGCAGCCCCACTCATGCCCTGTCCCCATCACCTCTCTGCCAGGGAGAAAACCTCCTGTACTGCTTCGAGGTGGCAGCCGCGCAGCCAGCGCTCACCCAAGGTAAGCAGCCTACATCCCACATTGGGCTCCCGGCTGCCCCCAGAGGCTGGGTCCTGCCTGCCCCACGGCCACCTTGCCTTTCCCCCCCTCCTCCCCAACAGTGACCCAGTGCCGGACAGAGGGCAGCACGCGGGGCCTGGCCGCTGTGCCGCGCCTGGCCCTGGACGTCATGGCCTGCGAGGTCCTCCGTGTCCTGCAGCTCACTGACACCGCCCTCATCCCTGTCAGCTATGTGGTGCCACGCAAGGTAAGGGGTGCTGCGGGTGACACTGTATCACGGGTGCCTGGTGACATCTCATGGGTGACACCTCACCAGCACTTGGTGACAAAAGGGACCCAAGTGTGGGGGATCCAGCCTGGGGAGAGCAGGAGAAGAGGTAAAACCTGGGCGCTATGTGCTGAAAGCTGGGTGCTGATGGTGGGTGATGGAGGCTGAGGTTTCTCGGTGCTATATTTGGGAAGTTAATTTGCTGCATGCAAGATGCTGGGTGCTTGCTACCTGCTGGGTGCTGTTGTGTAATGGGTGCCAGATCGTGAACACTAGGTGCTTGAAAATGGTTGGAATTTTGGGGTTGGGTAGTGGAGTCTGGGTGCAGGAGGTGGTATCCTCGGTACTCGATCTGGCATGCTAGTGGTGCTTAAAGCTGAAGGCTGGGTGCCAAAACATGGGTGTTGGGTGCTGCAAGGGGTGATGCTGGGTGCTGGGTGTTGTTTGGGAGACTGGATGTGTTCAGGGGTACGTGAGACAGCCCAACGACATGACGTGTCTGACACCTACAGGCTTCAGTGTGCAGCTTGTGGGGATAGGGCTCCACAGACACAGGAACTGGGGTGCCATGAGATTCCTGGTGGGGCCCAGGGGTGCCCCAGCCCAGGTGATGCCAGTTGGCAGCAGGACACAGGCTGTGGGGTTTTGGGGACACCCACCCCACCATGTCCCCTCTCCCACAGTCTGTCCAGGACTTCCATGAGGATCTGTTCCCTGACTGCACTGGGACTCTGCCAGCCAATGGTGCCCAGGCCTGGTGGGCAGGGGACAGCCAGCAGGTCAGTGTCACCCGGGGTGTGCCCTTGCCAATGGCATTGCCGGGGCTGCCACTGCCCCTTGCCCACCATTGTGCTTGCCAGCAGGTGAGGAAGGTCAGCCTGCACCCAGCACGGAGACCCACTGAGACCTTCACCTCGCCCATCATTGCCTGTACCCAGCTGCAGGCAGCCAACATCGGCCCCACAGTTGACACTGGCCCTACCAACACCAACACCAGTGCCGACCAGAGTGTGAGCACAGGGTGCTGGGGAATTTGCTGGGGTGCTGAGAGACTGGGGGAACCCCACCACCCTTGGCCTTCAGGGATGTTGGAGGGCTGGAACGCCAGCATCTCCTGCCCACCCGCTCTCTCTCCCATAGGAGGGCAGTGGCTACTCCTCACCATCCTCACTGGCCTCACCGGGCAGTGCCACCACCTCCCTCTCAGCCAGCACCGGCCCCTCCAGCGGCTTTGCCAGCAGCCCCAGCCAGAAGTCACTGCAGAGCATTTTGGGTGAGCAGGCAGTGGGGTGGGCTTGATGTCCCCTGGCTGTGGCTGTGCTGGGGGGAAGACCTGGAGCACTCACCTGTACCCTGCCTGTGCCAGGGCCCAGCTCCCGCTTCCGGCATGCACAGGGCAGGGTGCTGCACCGTGACACGCACCTCACCAACCTGCGGGGGCTCAGCCTCACCACGCCAGGCGAGTGTGACGGCTTCTGCGCCAACCACCGCTACATCGCCTTGCCCCTGCTCTCTGCTGGTGGCCAGATCGCCATCCTCGAGGTACCCCCTGCACAGCATGGTGGGCAGCATGGCACTGGTGGGCGCAGTGCAGGCGACCGCCTGGCTTTCTTCCACAGCTCTCCAAGCCCGGCCGTCTCCCTGACGCAGCCATACCCACCATCCAGAACAGTGTGGCTGTGACTGACCTGTCCTGGGACCCCTTCGACCCGCAGCGCCTCGCTGTTGGTACGTGTGCTGTCCCCAAGGGAGTTCACTGGGCCACTCCTCTGGCACCAGGCATTCCAGATCACTGTATTAACTACTGCCTATCCATTTTGGTGCCATAGCGGGTGAAGATGCCAAGATCCGGCTGTGGCAAATCCCGGAGGGAGGGCTGCAGGAGACACTGCAGGAGCCTGAAGCTGTCCTCCAAGGTGAGGGGCACGTGGGCAGGCACAGCAAGCACCCCACTCTGGGGACAAGTCAGCCTGGGGCTGTCCACTCCACATCTCAGCTCAGCTGGGGACAGCCACGCACCGCTCAACCTTACCAGGTCACACAGAGAAGATCTACTCCATCCGCTTCCACCCTGTGGCATCCGATCTCCTGGTTTCTTCCTCTTATGACATGACGGTACGGATCTGGGAGCTGAGTTCTGGGCGGGAAGCCTTGTGCCTGCAGGGACACACTGATCAGGTAAGGGATGACACATCTGGGGACCCGTGAGGGGCACATTTGGCCAGGCAGGGGACATAGGACATCTGCCTCCCCAGATCTTCAGCCTGGCTTGGAGCCCTGATGGGAAGAAGCTGGCAACAGTGAGCAAAGATGGTCGCTTACGGCTCTATGAGCCACGGCACAGCCCTCTGCCTCAACAGGTACAATCAGGGTGGTGGGGACAGGCTGGAGAGCTGGGGACCCCCCCATGGGCACTTGCCTGCACCCTCAGCTCTCTCCAAGCTGACAGGGTGACCCTGACCTCATACAGGAGGGTCCAGGTCCTGAGGGGGCCCGCGGAGCACGCCTCGTTTGGGTCTGTGGTGGTGATTACCTCCTGGTGTCCGGCTTTGATAGGTAAAGAGGGGCACACACAGGGCACGGGTCCTCAGGGGACACTGTGCCCCCCCCCAACTGTCACCTCCCTGCAGCCGCAGCGAGAGGAGGATCCTCCTGTACCAGGCGCAGGCTCTGCCCAAGGGACCCTTGTCTGTCCTTGGCCTTGACATGGCCCCTTCCACCCTCCTGCCCTTCTACGATGAGGATACCAGTGTTGTCTTCCTCACTGGCAAGGTGAGGGCTTAACCATCAAAAACTGGGGGGCTACTTGATCACAGCACCCCAGCCATGTGGGGGGACCCTCCATGCACACCCCCCCACCAACCCATGTCTTGCTCCATCCGCAGGGTGACACCAGAGTCTTCCTCTACGAGGTGACGCCTGAGCCACCCTATTTCCTTGAGTGCAACAGCTTCACCTCCAGTGAACCCCACAAGGTAAGGGGGGGGGGCACTGGGGCTGTGCTGCCTGTCCCTGACCTCTCCCTGCACTGCCAGACGCACAGCAGACCCTGCTCACGCCTGTGCCCCATCAGGGGTTTATCTTCCTGCCCAAAACGGTGTGTGAGGTTCGGGAAGTGGAGTTCGCCCGGGCGCTGCGTCTTGGGCAGAGTACCCTCGAGCCTGTGGCTTTCCATGTGCCACGTGTCAAGGTAAGTGGCGGGGACCCGGCTGTGTTTTGGGGGTGTACTGGAGGCAGGACCCTGCTCAGCACCCCTCGCCCTGCAGAAGGAGTATTTCCAGGATGATATCTATCCGCTGACCCGTGTCTGGTGGGAGCCGGCCCTCGGCGCCAGTGCCTGGCTGTCGGGGGAGGATGGGCAGCAGCGTCGCACCAGCCTGCAGCCCACAGACATGACGCCAGGTGGGTGCAGAGGGGCCAGGCAAGGCCCCCTGGGGCCGGGGGTTGTGTAGGGGGTGTCAGCCATGGGGCAAACCTCCTGCCCCATGGCTACACTGCTCTCCCAGTGAGCCAGGCCCCAAAAGAGGCCCCAGCACGGAAGTTCGTCCCCGCGTCCGTGTACCTGGAGGAGAAGTCTGATGAGCAGAAGAAGGAGGAGGTGGGTGCTGAGGCATCCCGCCTGCCACGGGGCCCGGGCTGGGGGCGATGCCCGGTCCCACGGTGCTGCCCTGCCTCCCTACAGCTCCTGAGTGCCATGGTGGCGCGGCTGGGCAACCGGGAAGACCCGCTGCCACAGGACTCCTTTGAGGGGGTGGACGAGGACGAGTGGGTAGGTGCAAGGGGGGGGGGGGGTGCGTGAGTGTGAGACCCTCGGGGCCGGTCCCACGGCGCCCGTTACCCCACCGGGCCTTCGCAGGACTAGGCCGGACCCCGGCACCCCGCGGACCACGCCGGGGACCCCCGCCCGGGCCCAGAGGCGAGGAAGCAGCGCAGGACGAGAAGCCACGAGGCCCGTCCCGGCTGAGGGGAGACCGGCAGGGACCGCACCAGGCCCCGCAGCGGCGATGGGCCCCGTGCCCGCCGCGGGCAGGCCCCGCTATTAAAGCCGCTGCCGCAGCACCCGTCTCCCACCGTGATTCCGGGGCGGGGAACCGGGGACAGGGGAGACGGGGGGGCCGTGGAACACGCGGGCCGGGCACCGGCGGAAGCATGCGCAGAGCAGTCGCACCAGCCATCGGCGGCACCTCCCGGTCGCGGCCGCCAGGGGGCGCTATCATCGGCGGGAAGTCTGGGGATCTCCACCCAGCGCGATCGCCGTCTCTGTAGCCGCTGCGACCTTCGCTCCTTGACCCCGTGACCGCCAGTGGCGGAAGCGGCGGCGGGGACATGGTGAGAGGAGCGGGAGGCGGTGGGGCCGAGGCCGGCCGGGCAGGGGGGCAGGAGCGGGACCGCGGCCTGGAGGAATCGGGGCTGGGCGGGCAGGGCCCCGGGGGAGAAGGGCGGGCTGGGTCGGGCCCGAGGGGAGGGCGCGGGGCGGAGCGGGGCCCGGCCCAGGCAGTGACAGCGGCGTGTCCCCGCAGGCCAAGTACCTGGCACAGATCATCCTGGTGGGGGCCCAGGTGGTCGGACGGGCCTTCATGCGGGCGCTGCGCCAGGAGTTCGCAGGTAGGAGCCGAGCTGCCGCCCCGTGTGCCCGGCCGGGCATCCCCAGACCTAACCTCGGACTCCCCAGTGCTGCCCGTCTGGGGGGAAGGCTTGTCCCAGGGTGACCCTCAGCGCCCGCGTCTTGGCGCTGGCACAGCCGCCGTCACAGGCATCGCTGTCAGGCACCGACACACCCTGCAGCACTAAAGGGCAGAGCAAGTCGCTCCCCCAGGACACGGGAGCTGCAGCCCTTCCCACCTCTGCCTGCCTGCAGCCTGGCTCGCTGTGGGTCTTGACAGCAAATGGGTGTCCCCCCCGTGTTCTTGCCGCCTCCCCAGCAGTGGGAACCTCATCCAGGTGACCCCCATGGGATGGAGGCAGTGGAAGGAGGGCAGGGAGTGAAACTAGGGCTGAGCACCTCGGAGCCTGTGGACTTTGCTGCCCCGTGCCCTCCCGAGGCCTGGGTGTACCCCTGGGGGACAGTGCTGGGGGGACTTACACCCTTGGTGTCTCCCGGCAGCGAGCCGAGCAGCAGCAGATGCACGAGGGCGCTCAGAGAGGCCCCAGTCCGCTGCCGCTTCCAGGATCATTGGCATCAGTCTCCAGGAAGCTCAGCAGATCCTGAACGTCTCGAACCTCAACCCAGAGGAGATCCAGAAGGTAGAGGCTCTCTTGGAGCTGGAGAGGGATGGTGCTCCTGCAGAACCCTGCTTCCCAGTGGCTGCTGCTTGGTGTGGCCCTGTCCTGGGCCCAGTTAATCCCAGTCTGAGGTTTCCCTGACCCAGCTGGAGGAGCATTCTGGCAGCTCTGGGCATTAGCAGCCCACCCAGCTTGGCCCCTGCATTTCCTCGGTGGTGCTGCTCAGGAAGGGGATGTGGGACCCGACTAGGAGCGTGGGGACCCACTGGGGAGTTGGGCAAAGCCAGTCGTGTCCCAGGATTGTACTTGTCACCTCCAGCACCGCCATGGGGAGTGAGAGGCTACAGGGGTTCAGGGCTGGGGAGAGCAGAGGAGGTGAATCTGATGGGGAACTTCTGCTTGGCAGAACTACGACCACTTGTTCAAGGTGAATGACAAGTCAGTGGGAGGCTCCTTCTACCTGCAGTCCAAGGTGAGCCAAAGGAGGAGTGGAGCTGGGGCTGCACTGCCACCCAGCCCTGCCCTCAGCACCTTCCCCTGCCTGGAATTTGGGAGAGCAGAGCTGGAACATTGGCACTAATAAGGCAGGGAGGGGAAGGGGCAGCCCTGTCCCTGTGTTGTCACCCTGTCCCCATGTCCTGAAGGTGGTGAGAGCGAAGGAGCGGCTGGACGAGGAGCTCCGCATCCAGGCTAAGGATGAGAAAGAGAAAAGCCGGAAAGCTGAGACGTGACCCATGCTGCCCCTGTGCCCTGTGTCCCTCACCCTTAACTTATAGGTAGCTAATAAATAGTATGTATTCTAGCATCTGGTTTGGTTGCTCTGTGCCCTGGGAGAGGGGAATCACCCACCACCCCCAGAGGCGATCAGGACTGGTCTCTGCAAGGGGCTGGCAAAGCTGGGCTTTGCTAGGGAGGAGGAAGGCAGCTGGGGAAGAATGGGTGGTCCCAGGGCATTGAGGGCTGCCAGAGCTGAAGTGGCTCCCAGGGAGCTATTTTCATGGTGGGTTTGAACATTCCGGGCCTGAGCACACGAATACCTCTGACTCCGTACCCCAGGAGCGCCAGGAGATCTGTGCCATTACCCTTCACTGCGGGCAGGCTGCTGGGATGGGCTGAGGGGGACACGCTGACACTGCGGCCACCTCCACTTGCGGCTCATACCACAGACCTTGGCAGGACTTTGCTGGTGCCGTGCTGCTGGCCCAGGAGTGTGGGGACTTGCCAGGGGGGTCAGGCAGAGCAGCTGTGCCCTGAGATGGCTCCTGTCCCTCTCCTGTACCCTTCCATCCCCACTGCAGTCTCCTTACTGCCATCACCGTGGTCATGCACTGAAACAGGAACTTACTTCAACTTCACTTTATTGTTTTCTTAATAAACTTCCTCTCCCCTGGACGAATATAGTGTTATAGTTGTTAGCTTATCTCTTACTTCTGCAGTCCTTAAACGCTATGCTAACAGCGATGGAGCCCAATAGGAGAAAAATAAAAACAACCCAGAAACTACGATAGAAAGGCACTTCGAAAACGTTAAAATACTGATGTCCTGGAATGTGCAACAACAAACTGACAAAGGAGCGAGGAGACGTACACGGTACACTGGCCGGGGCGGCCTGGTCGGTGGCCTGTGGCCATGCTGGGGCTGTGGCAGCACCCGGCCCAAGGAGGGTGAGGGCAGGGAGACCGGCTCCCCGCAGGGCACACAAAGCTGGGAGCTCCTTCCAGCATGGAGGGAGCAGGATGGAGACCCCTGCCCTGGTTCAGGGGAGACCATAAGCAGGGTCCTGCCCAGCAGCAAGCAGTACATGGGACCCCTCTGCATGTGCCAGGGGTGGCTCCAAGCTCTGGCTGCACAGAGGCGGGACACATTGCCCACACCTGGCCCCGTGACAGCATCCTGCCTGCCCCAGCACTGCCCCATAACCTGGGGGGGGGCTCATCTGGGAACATCTCATCCCAAGGAGCAGGCACCCCCACCAGCCGCTGTCAGTGTGCCATTGGCAGCAGCTCTGCTGATGCCTGGAGTCGTGCCTGCGCTGCCCGCTGCCTGCATGCGGTACATGGTTAGGTATGAACGAAGCTAAACAGGGTGGCTCTGCCCCGGCGCAGAGCCAGCGTGGTGAGCGGCACACGCAGCCATGTGCCTTGTCACAGGGAGGGCCGGGGAGGTGGCAGGGATGAGGGTGGCCGTGGAGCAGGGGGGATGCAGGCGGATAACCAGGCCAGCGGGTGCCCAGCCAGCTGGGCCCAGCATTGGGGTGCCATGGCCATGGCACCGTCTGCAGCCATGCTGGCCAGGCAGGGTGGACACAGCTGGGCACAGCTTGGGGCTGTGGCAGCCGTTGTTCCCAAGCTGTCACCCCACTGTCCATGTGGTGAGAGGCTGGAGCAGCCTCCACAGCACCAGCGGTGCCAAGGCCTTGGGCACAGAAACGCGGAGTCAGCGGCAGCAGATGAGCCTGAGCAGGACCCTGCCAGGGCAGGGGCTGGTCAAGAAATAAATAGTGGCGTATCCAGCTGCCCAGGCCAGGGGTACAGGGGGACCCCCGAACCCCCGCCTGCCCCATGGCTGCCCCTGGGGTGTGGGGTCGCAGCCGGCTGTGGATACTGAGAGATTATTGCTTTTCTCAGAAGAGTTCATTCTTCTTTCGTGGTGGTTAAAAGCATGAACAAGGCCCTTGCGGACTGCAGGGGTGGGGAGGAGGGGGCAATGCCCCCATCCCCAAGGAGCAGGGTCTGCCAGTGGGGCCGTCAGCTGGCCCCGGGCATCGTCAGGCCCCTCAATTCACGGTGGCAGGTTTGAGCAGCAGGGAGCCTGGGGGAATGAGCACCCAGCCTGGGGGCAGTGCCTCGGGGCTCCCCCCGGAGCCCACGCCAGCTGAGAGGTCGAGAACGGCCCCAGGCAGCAGAGCCAGGCTCTCAGGGGGCACCCTCGGCCGTCCCGGCTCCGTCCTTTCCCACTTCTCCTTGCAGCTCTCTGCCCCCTTGCTCACCTTGGGTGGCCGCCCCTCAGCCCCGCTGCCCTTCTCCCCCTCAGCCTTGGCCGCGCCGGCCAGCAGCGACATCACAGGCAGCCCCAGCCCTGCCGCAAAGGGCGAGGGCAGCAGCGGGCTCTTGGCCAAGTTCAAGGGGCCGCCGTTGAGGGGCAGGACGGGGCCGGGCAGGGCGGGCAGTGCACCGGCAGCCCCGCAGCCCAGGGCACTGAGGTCGAGTGGGGCCGGAGCCAAAGGGATGGGCAACGCCGGGAGCCCCGGGGGAGCGAAGAGGGCAGCGGGGTTGGGGATCACGAGCTGTGCCCCGTTAACGTAGGGCACCTCCGCTGAGCCCAGGGGTGTTTTGGGAGGCGGGTGGACCTTGAGCATCTCCGGATGCTCAGGGGAGACAAAATGACCGTGGGCTTTGATGTGCTTGCGGAGGGAGCTGGGGTCAGTGTAGCGCTTGTGGCAGCCTGGCATCTTGCAGGAGTAGGGCTTCTCCACGTAGTGGGTGCGGGTGTGCTTGAAGCGGTCGCTCGAGTTGGAGTAACGCTTGTTGCAGCCTTCATAGGGGCAGATGTAGGGCTTCTCGCCTGCAGGACGGCACAGCACTGTGTCTGCTGGGGAGCAGGGCCAGCGCTGCCAGGTCCTCTGTGGGTGTCCCCCCTCCCCTCTCCCCCAGGGTGGCCTGTGCTGACCTGTGTGTGAGCGGTTGTGGATTTTCAGGTTCTCCAGGCGGGAGAAGCTCTTGTTGCAGGTGGGGCAGCGATGCGGCTTCTCGTTGGTGTGTGTCCGGATGTGGATCAACATCTTGTACCTGCCAAGGTCAGGGAGACATCAGGGGAGAGGGGATGGGGGCATGCAGGTCAGCACCATCATCCAGCCCCACAGGACACTGCACCCCATGCTGGAGGGGTGGTGACTGGAGACCTCCCCTGCACAGCACCCAGTGCTGGGCTCCTGTTCCCCCGTGGTGACCCAGAGCAGCCCCCAGGGACCCCAGAGCCCTCCCAGAGCTCCCCCTTCCCACCTGGCATTGAAGCCCCGGCCATGGCGGGCGCAGCCCTCCCAGTGGCAGCAGTACCCCGCGTCCTTCTCGGGTTTGACATGGAAGTCATTGACATGGTCCACCAGGTCTTGCAGGAGGTCAAAGAACTGGTTGCACTGTTGGAAGGAGGCAGGGGGTGAGGAGGCCCAGCAGGGTGGGCACCGGGGGGGGGACACGAGCAGATGGAAATGTCCCTTTTCATGAATCCCTCAGACCCACACCATCCTCCCCGGCATTTCTACAGAGTCCCCAGATCCCCATCACCCCTAAACTGTCCCTGCGTGCCCCCCCAGCCCCACATTGCCCTGTCAAGACCCACAGAGCTCTGCCATGGCCTTCCAGGCCCATGTGCCCCCAAGCCCCAAAATGCCCCAGTGTGGCCCCCAACTCCCAGGCAGTTTCTCCCTCCTCCAATGCACAGCCTCCCAGCCCCCCTGACCACCCCCAGAAACACAAAGCTTCTGCACAGCCCCCCTCAGCCCCATAACTCCTCCCCACCCCCCAGCCCTCCCTGCTGACCTTGGACCAGCGGCAGACAAGCTGCTTGGGCAGGGGCAGCTCGGGGGGGAGGCGCTTCTCCTTGCTGGGAGGCAGGAAGGCGGCAGGGGGCAGGTGCAGGCCCCCCCCTGCCCCCAGCGGCAAGAAGAACTGGAAGGAGCTGGGGAGGCCGTCGATGTAGCGCAGAGACTGGAAATCCTGGAGCAGAACCCAGGAAGGGGGGCATTGGGGGATGGACGGAGACCCCCAGAGACCCCAGAACAGCCTACAGACCCTTCCAGGAGCCACCCTGGGGATGACACGAGTCGGGGTGGGGGGGGGGGGGGGGGGGGGAGGGACTGACCCCAGGTGAGCGTACACAGTGAGGGCCTGTGTCACAGCAGCCCTGGGCGTGCTGACGAGGTCCGGCACAATGCCCATCCCTGGGGTCACTCGGGGGGGCACACAGGTGTACTTACATGGGGGTGAGGGGCCCGGGCAGGTCCCCACTGCCCTGGCGCTTGGGGGAGAGCGAGGCGCTGCCAGATGGAGACTCCGCACCGGAGCGTGGCGAGAGGCTGAGGTCCACCACTGGCACAGCGGCGAAGCGCCTGTCCCGTGGCTGCACCAGCCTTGAGTGTGCCAGGAGGCTGCTGGGGGACGGCCCGGCCCGGCGGCCCCCCCGGCCGCCTCCCTGGCCATCCCCGGCCGGCGGGGTGTGCGGGCGCTGGGGAGCGCGGGGACGGGTGCCGGGGCACCCCGCTTCTCCCGGGCGGCTCGCAGCTTGGAGATGCTCAGTTTGAGGTCCAGCGGCTCCTCCAGTGAATGCATGGTGCTGGGGGTGGGCACTGTGGGGGACACGCAGGGGTCACTGCAGTGATGGGGGGCACCGGGGCCACCTGTAGCATCACCCCACCCTCACCCCACAGTGGTGCCTGCTGCTGCTCCGGGCTGGAGGCTGAGCAGGCACTGGTGGCCGCGGTGCTGGCATGGGACTGTGCCGGACCCCCTTCCTTGGGGCCCCTGCAGCGGGCAAAGGGCAGGGCACAGCCATGGCCCCCCCACCGGCCCCTCAGTGTCCCCAGCCTGTCCTCTCCATGTTGCCAACCACCGGGGCCAACGCAGCCCCTTGGCCAGCTACCAAAACCCTGCAGCCCTGGAGCTGCGGTGTCCCTGTTCTGCTCCCCCATTCACCCGTTGGTCTGCCCGTCACCACGGGCCTGCCCCAGCGGGGCCTTTCCCAGTGGCAGAGCAGGGCGGTCGCAGCCACCAGCCCGGCGGTGACCTGGGCGGCCGAGTCCGCTGGCCCCAGCCCCGGAGGCAGCAGAGCTTCCTCCCCGCCGGGGCCCCTTCCCCGCCGGCCAGCGCCGCTGCCTGTCGGGGCCAGGCTGGGGCTGCCTGCACACAGCTCAGTGTGGCACGGAACTGAATGGCACAGCACGGCGTGGCACAGCACAGCACTGCAGGTCTGCTGCCTGCAAGCACACTTCCCAAGATGTGGTGGGGGACCAGAGCCCTCCCATACTACTGTCCCCAGAGTGACAGTCTGCACTGCAGATCACCCTGTGTCATCATACCACAGCTCCGTTCCCCCGCCCCCCCGAACTGTTACCCCATGGCTCTGCTGCTACACATCTGCAGGCAGCTGAGAACGGGCAGCTTGGGGCAGGAGTGAGCGCCCGAGCCCGACCTGCGGCAGTGCCAAGCCGGTCCCGGCTGTGTGCCCATGTCCGTCCTCTCCCCCCCCCAACATCGCCCAGGGCAGGGGGAGGGCGGCTGAGGGGCCGTGTTGGGTGGCACCACACACCCAGCACGCTTGGCAGCAGAGGCCCCCCATCTGCTCCCGCCCCGGGGGGCCTGTCCCCCGCCCTGCCCCGCCGGCGGGGCCCCCTGCGCTGGCGAGGGTCCATCCCGGCTCAGACGCTGAGGAATGCGGAGGAGCCGCGGGGGGCATGGGGCCCGGCCGGCAGGGCGGGGGACCCCCTGCCTTCCCCCCCTTTCTCCCCCCCCCCCCCCCCATCAGCACTGGGCCATGGGGCTGGCCCCATGGGGGGTCCCTGTCGCAAGCTCCCCTGCTTTGCAGGAGGGATGTCTCCCTGAGATCCCCATGGCCATGGGGCCTGCCGCATAGCAGGGTCCCTCCTCTCCAGTGGGGGTTCCAAGCCTGAGCCTCTACCTCCTCCCACAGTGGTAGGGCTTGCCCCATAGCACAGTCCCATCCCTTCTGGCAGAGCCACCCTCCTGAGGCCCCAAAGGTATGGGGCCAGTCCCACAGCAGGCTCCCTGCCCTTCACGGGTTCTTACCCTGCACCTCACAGGAGGTCCCTGCCCCAAGCCCCCCATGGTTCTCAGGCTCCAGCCACCCTCCCCCCATGTGCCCCACAGCGTGCTGGCACAGCTCAAGGACTGACAGACGGATGGTGGGCAGGACCTACAGCTGGGATGTCGCAGTGGGACCCCCTGCCAAGGAAGCAGGGTAGGGCCCAGCAGCCCCCAGAGACGGGGGTCCCGCAGGGGGGGAAGCCAAAGCATCGCGGCTGCTCCCACCACGGTGGCCGCGTCCTCACGTCCTCGGGTTGAGGAGTTTGGGGGGCCCCGGAGCGGGCGGTGACGGGTGGGGGCCCACGGGCGGCCCCGGGCGGGGCGGTGGGAAAGGGGCCTCCAGGCGCTGACGCCACGGCTCCAGCTCGGCCCGAGCAGGCGCTGCCAAACCACGCGGCCCCGCCGCCGCCGCTCCTGGGAACCGGCCCCGCTTGGGGCTGCGACACCGCGGGGGCCCCGAGGGGATCGGGATGGGGACGGGGCTGGGCACAGCCCCGAGATGGCTCGGCCTCGGCCGCCCCAGCACCTGCGGCCCCCGCGTGAGGCCCCTGCGCTCCCCCCCGGCCTCTCCTGTCCGCGCCAGGCGCTGCCAGCCCGGCCACGGCCCAGCTTCCCCTCCGGCCGCCCAGCGAGCCCCCCCGCCGCGCCAGTTCAAACCAGTCCAGGGCAGCGCGGGGCCCAGGGGCTTCCCAGTTTGGGCGGGGGCCGCTGGGATGGAGCCCGGACGCAGGGGTAGCCACCTTCCCTGGCTCCCCGGCCGGGCTGGTCTCCCCCACGTCCCCCCCCCACACTGCCCGTCCAGCCGGCACGGCCGTGGAACCGGGGTGACCCTGGTGCAGCAGATGGAGTGCCAGTCCTCCGGGACACCCCGCAGCTGGCATGGCCGGGGGGCTCCCCCCTTCAGCCCTAGCTGCGGCACAAAACCCGCCAGGATCAGCGCGGTGCAGGGGGGCCGCGGGGCAGAGACTTCCCGGCGGCGGCGGCAGAGAGGGGATGCCAAGAGCGAGGGCTGCCAACGGTGACGGATGCCAAAGCCAGGCCCTCGATGCCCCGAGAGGGACGGTGACCCCGGGGCTTGGCGAGAGGGTGCGGTGTCAGCGCTGCAAGCGGGCACAGCTCAGCCCCCTCGGCACGGTGCTGCCGGCATCTGTGGTCCGGCAGCTTCTGAAGCCCCCCGTGCCCAGTGGCATAGGTGCATTGGCAGGACCTGACCCTTCCACCCAGGTCTCCACCACCACTGCTGCCCAAGTCATTGTCCTCACGGCTGCTGGCAGGGCACAGACCACCATGGGATCTGCCATCCCTTCATGTCCCACTGTGGACAGCACTGGCACAGCCGCTCTTCACTAAAATCCAGTGCGTGTCAGGGTTAGGGTGCCACATCCTTCTGGTGGCTCTGGCTTGTCACCATGCTCTCAGCACCCACCACCCCACGCCACAAGGGGTGATGGCAGCCCCCAGCAATGTCCCCAGGAGGGGCCATGGCTCCAGTCCCCAAGTGTAGCCGGTGACACAGTCCCCCTTTCCCAGGTGCATGGCATGGGGGACCCGTGGGGATCCTGGTGGGGGGCTGAGGCAAGCCCTATCTCCGGGGAGCAGCCTTGCAGTGGTGATGCCACCTATGGCATGCAGCCTGGCACCTCTGCCAGGAGACATGGCAGAGCACGCCGGGATGGGAGCAGGGCTGGTCCCCATTCACCGGCAGACCTAACTCCGGGGTAGGGGCCCAGACTGCGGGATGTGGGGACCCGGGTCAGGGGATGTGGTGACAGCAGGCGAGCAGGGTGACACAAAGGCACAGGGAAAGGGAGGTGGCCGCTTGCAGAGGGGTTTCTCCATGCTGGGTAGGGGACAAGCCCCTGCAGCAGGAGCCAGGGACATAGGGGACAATTTGTGGCAGCCTTTGCTCCCTACTACTGGCACTTTGCAGAAGGGTCACACCATCCGGGCCCCCAAACCCATCGGTGCCTGCATAGCCTGAGCTCAGTCACCACACATCAGCCCCTCGAGGCCGCGGTTCTGTGTCCCCCCTCCCCCCGCGATGGGGTCAGGGGATGACCGGTGGCACCGGCGGCCGGGATGGGGCTGCCCTGAGGTCCCCGCCAAAGCCACCCCATCCCGGAGACCCCGGGATGGCCGCGACTGGCGGAGCCACCCAGCGCGTCCCGCCGCAGCCCCCGCCCCACAGCCAAGGTCAGGACACCCGCCCGGGCGCGGGATAGCAGCGGGTGACGGCCAACCCCTGGCCCCCCTCTCTGCGCACCCCGCTACCACCCACCCGTGTCCTCCGGGGTGGCCCCGCTATCCCGCTGCTTCCCCCGTTACCCCCCATGTCCCGGGGCTGCATAGGGGCCACGTCCCGTGTGTCCCACCCTCTGCTACCCACAGCGAGGGGTATGCAGGTGCCGAGCCAGGAATGCCCCCCCGCCCTCCGGGGCAGGTCCCGGAGCTCCCGACGGGGCGGGGAAGGGGCTTCCCAGGAGGGTTCTCCCCCCGCCGCTGGCGGCGGCATCCTCCTCCTCCTCTTCCCCCCCACACCTCCCGCGGGCACGGCGGCGCGACAAAGCGCCGGTCCCCGGTGCGCGATCGTACCTGCGGCGGGGGCTCAGCGCCGGCGGCGGGCGAGAAGAGGGGCGAGGAGCGGGGCGGGGAGCGGGGCTTGGCGGAGCGGGCCCCCCCGCTGCCGGGCCGCCGGGCCGCTCCGCCACATCTGCAGGGGCTGGGGGCGGGGGCGGCGGCGGGGCTCTGCCCCCCCCTCCCCGGTCCCCCGGGCGGCGGCGGCGGAGGGTGGCGGCAGGGCGGGGGCTCTGCCCGCCGTGATTTATGGCCGCCCCGCACCGACCGGCCCGGCCCCGGCTGCGGGCGGGAGCTGGGCGGGGGCCGGGGCTGGCCCCTCCCCGCCGCGGGGGGCACCGGGGGGTACGGCGGGGGGGAGCCCCGCCCCGTGGGGGGGGGACACACAGTAAGGGACACGCGGGGACACCCCCAGCGCAAGGTCACCCGGGCGCTGCGGCAGAGCCGAGCCCCCCTACCCCCCCCCCGTGTCCTTGTCCGTCCCCCCCGGGGACGTGGCGCGGAGGGGGCAGGATGGGACCCCCAGCGGCGATGCGGGAAGAGGGAGGTGGTGCCCACCAGAGCCTCCCCCCCCCGCACCGGGGCCGCTCGGGGGGGAGGGGGTCACAACGGGGATGTGGGGGGGATCCCCCTCCCCGCAGGAGCAGCGCCGCCCTCCCGCCGAGTGATGTCACGGAGAGCGGCTGGCGTCACGCCTGGCGGGGGCCTCCGCATGACGTCACCCCCGGGGGGGTTGTCCCGGGGCGCCGGGGCCGCGGCTCCTTCCGGCGGCAGGATGTGGCGGGGCCGGCCCGGATGCTGCAGCCCGCACCGGGGGGGGGCGGGGGGGGAACTCCCTCCCGGCGCGGCGGGGGGGCTTCGCCCGCGCTACACACGCGGGTGGCCGGTGCGTGTCCCGCCCCGGGGGGTCCTGCGGGGAGCAGCAACAGGGGGGCACACGGGGGAGGGGGGAAATCACCCCCCATATGTTTTTTTGGGGGTGCTGCTGGGTCCCCAAGACTTTATCTTTTTTGGGGTTTTTCCCAAAAAAGGAGTGGGGGGGAACCCCGATTTCTCTGACCCCCCAAACGATGGAAATAAGCTGAGCTGCCTCTTGGGGGTATATAAGGGGGGCGCTTTGATGCCACCCACGGCGGTGGTGACCCCGGTGGGGACGGGGACATGCGGTGACTCGGTGGCCCCGGCCTGGTTACCAACGCCCCTTCACCGGACACCACGATCATCTCCCGTCCTGGTCCCAAAGTGCTCCCCAATGGGGCCCCTCCCGGGGACACCCGGGTACCTGCCACACACAGGCAGGAGGCTGGCACCGCGTCTGGGCACCCCCCCCCCCCCCCCCGCAGGTGTGGGGGGCTCCGGGGAGTGATTGGGAGGGCACGGCGGGGGGTGCGGGGTCCCTTCGCCCCCTCTCCGGAGCAGGGAGGCGATGCCCAAGCGCCAGCTGCCGGCACCGGCCCCGCCAGGCCGGGGGGGCCGCGGGTGTCCTCGCACCATAGGATGATGCCGCAGCCCCCGGCAGAGAGGCCCCCGCGGAGGATGGGCCGGGGCCAGGCAGAACCTGTCCTGCGAGCTCCGAGCGGGGCTGCGCGAGGGAAAGAGCGGGGGGGGATCCTGCCTGCCTGGGGGACACGCCATGCTCAGGCCCCCCTTGCTTGTGTCTCTACTGCCCCCTGGCCCCACGCAGGCAGTGTCGGGTGGGGGGGTGTGGGGGCTTTGGGGTACCCCCACAGACCCCCGGGTGTCCTGCATGGCTCTTGCCAGCCCCGGAGCCCCCCATCAGCCATGTGACCCCTGTCACCACAGGATTACTGAGCCCTGTGGCAGCCCCATGGCTCCTGCCAGCCCCCAAAGCTTTTTCCCCTCCCTCCCCCCGGCAGCCCCTGTCCCCCATAGGGCAGGGCCAGGCTCTATGGCACGGTGCGGGCCAGAGGTGTGGGGAAGAGGAGGGGTGCAGTGTCCCAGGGTAGCAGGGGGAGCAGGAGCTGCAGGGTCCTGCTGGCAACAGGGATGGGATGAGGATGTGATCAGATAGTGTAGAACAGGATGGGACAGGGATGGGATTTGAATAGGACAGGATAGGATGGGGTAGGGTAGGCTGTGATGGGACTATGGCAGGATAGGATGAGGACAGGATGGGATGGAACAGCATCAGATGAGGTTGGACAGGGTGGAACTGGATGGCATGAAGACAGGATGGGAGGGGGTGGGGATGAAATATGTTGGGGTAGGATGGCATAGGTAGGATAAGATGGGGATAGGATGGGGATAGGATAGGGAAAGATGAGATGTGACAGGTTGAAAATAAGGTGGGATAGGATGGGATTGGAACAAGACAGGTCAGAATAGATGGAGAGGAGAGAGAGGGAGAGGAGAGGAGAAGACAGGAGAGGGCCAAGACAGGTCAGGTTGGTATGGGATGAAGATAGGATGTAATGGTGACAAGAGGTCAAGATAGAATGGGATGGGATAGGATAAGATAGGATAGGGCATGATAGGATAGGGCAGGGTGGGGGGTGGAATGGGATGGGTTAAGGTAGGATGGGATGAGGACAGGATGCAATGGGGACAAGAGGTCAGGATGGGATAGGGTAGGATAGGATCAGATGGGGACAGGGCCATATGGGATGAGATGGAATGGGTCTGGGTGGACAGGGTAGGATGGGGATAGGTCAGGACAGGATGGGGTAGGATGGGATTGGGAACAGGTTAGAATGGGATGGGGTAGGACAGGGATAGAGCAAGGTAAGATGGGATGAGATAGGTTGTAATAGGGATGAGAGATCAAGATAGGATGGGATGAGATAGGATGTAATAGGGATGAGAGATCAAGATAGGATGGGATGAGATATGGTAAAAGTGGATGGGGACAGGGCCAGATGGGATAAGATGAAGTGGGGATGCAACAGGATGAGAAAGGGACAGGTTGGATGGGATGGGGATGGGTTGGATTGAATAGGATTGGATGGAAACAGGTCGGGATAGAACGGGTCAGGTTGAGACAGGTTGGAATTGGATGTGATAGGATTGGATGGTGACAGGTCAGGATGGGATGGGGATAGGTCAGAATGGGATGGGGATGGGTCAGGTTGGGACAGGTCGGAATGGGTTGTAATAGAATGGAGACAGGTCAGGATAGGATGGGGATGGGTCAGGGACAAGTTGGGATGGGATGGGGACAGGTTGGGATGGGATAGGATGGGATGGGGACGGGTCAGGATGGGACAGAGACAGGTTGGGATGGGATGGGGACAGGTTGGGATGGGATAGGATGGGATGGGGTGGGGACGGGTCAGGATGGGACAGGGACAGGTTGGGATGGAATGGGATAGGAGGGGATGGGGACAGGTCAGAATGGGATCGGATGGGATGGGGACAGATCGGAATGGGATGGGGTAGGATGGGATTCGATGGGGACAGGTCGGAGTGGGACGGAGCTGCGCAGGACGGGACGGGGTGTACGGTCTGGGGACGCGCAGGTCGGACCGGGCGGGACGGGCCGGGGCAGGAGCCCCGTTGCCGAGCCCCGCCGTGAGGTGGTGCCGGGGTCGCTCCCGCGCCCCGCGCTCCCCGCGCCGTCCTTTGTTTACATGGGCCGGTGGCTGGCGGAGGCGGAGGCGGCGCCGCCGGGGGCGGGCGGGCGGGGGGAGGCGGCGGCGGCGGGCGGGAGCCGCCGCGCTCGCACCAGCTGTTTCCCGCCTTGAGCCGCAGGCAGAGACCGCCGGAGCCGGAGCCGGGCCTGGCCGCCCCCGCGCCGCTCCGGCATGGAGTACTTCATGGTGCCGGCCCAGAAGGTGCCGTCGCTGCAGCACTTCAGGAAATCTGAGAAGGAGGTCATCGGCGGGCTCTGCAGGTGGGGGCCGGGGGGCGCGGGGGGCTCGGCGCGGGGCTCGGTGCCCCCGGACCGCATGTGGGGGGCGGGTTTGGGGGTGATCGGGGGTGGGGGGGGGCAGCGCAGCGCGGCCGCCGCAGTCCCACCGCCCGCACGTGGTCCCGCCGCGCACATGGGGCCGGGCGGCCACGCGTGGCGGGATGGTGGGGGGAGGCGCAGCCCGCTCGGCCCCGCTGCCCCGTGGGGTTGGGGGGTCTGGAGGTGTGTGTGGGGTTAACGGGGTGCGGGGGGGTCCGGCGCGGTGTGCGGGGGGGTGTGTTTACTGCCGGGCCTGGCCGTGACTCTGCAGCCCTCCCGGAGGAGGCGGGTCGCGGTCGGGGCTGCCGGGACATGTAGTGCGGGGAGGCGGCGGCACAAAGCCCGCGGACGAGGCGGGGAAGCCCCGGCGGATCGGGGCAGTCCCCGAACCCTTGCACCCCGGCCGGGCATGGGGCTGGAGCCGCGGGGCCGCCCCGGGCCGGCGGGGCCTGGCGGGGAGGCGGCGGCGGGCGGGCCCCGCCACGCGTGGGGGGCGGTGCAGGCCCCGCTGGGCCATGCGGGACGGTCCGCGGCGGTCCGGGGCCGTGGCAGCGGCTCAGGATACCCCCCGCCCCGGGCCTGCCTCGCCGTGGGGCCCGGCCGCGTGTGGGGGGGGGGCGGCCGCGTGTGTGGGGCGGCCCGCGCCCGTGGAGCCGCTGTAGGGCAGCTCTCAGCAGCCAGGCCCCGCTACACGTGTGGGGCAGCCGCGGCCCCTTGAGGCCCAGCCCCGCCAGCCCGAGCCCACACGCACCCTCCCCAGGGGGCGGGCCTGCCCGAGCTCACTGCTGCCCCACGGGCTTACCTGGGGCCAGGGGCTGCATCCCGGTGGTGCTCAGGGGGTGCCCGCTCTTGAGGGCGCCCGGGGGCTGCAGCTGTGGGGTGGCTTCTCCAGCATCCCCCATGTTGGTCGCTGCGGGTGGCTGTGGCCCAGCGTGAGCCGGTGGCCTCCGTTGGAGGGCGAGTGCATGGGGCAGGGAAATTTGGACATTATGCCCAAGGCTGGGGAGCTGCATGGCCCCACACCTGCCCCTGGTATGGGGCAGAGCTCTAGGGGAGCCTCACTGCCTTTCCACCACCCTGAGTTCTCCGCTGCCCTGCCTGTGAGCTCCAGGCAGTGGGGGATGCCCTGCCTGCAAGCTCAGGGTGCTGGGAGACACCCTGCCTGTGAGCTCGGGTACACCTTGCCTGCAACCTTTGGCAGCCTGCCTGTGAGTTTAGTGAGCTTGGGGATGCCAATCTTGTGAGCTTAGGGACATCCTGCCTATAAGCTTATGGATACTTTGTGTTCAGGCTTGGGATACTCTGCTTGCAAGCTTGGGGGCACCCTGCCTGTGACCTTAGGGAGCTTGTGGCACCCTGCCTGCAAGCTTGGGGACATGCTGCCTGCACAGCCATGTCTTCCCTGCACACCAGTGCAAGCTGCAGTGCTTGTTGTGGGCAGAATGGGGCCAGTATTGGCCCCAGCTTTTTTGCCAGGCAGAAGCGGCATGGCATCAATGAGACCCAGCAGCCTTGTGGGTTTGTTACCATGGAGGTCTGGGTGAGTGTGACATTCCTGCTGTGCTGTGCCAGGGGCTGATGGACCACAAGGGTTGGAAGGACCAAATTCTGCTCGCCTGACCCAAACCTGCAGCACCAGATCTAGGCTGAGGACACCCTGGGGTTTCTTTGCTATGCCAGGGCTCCAGTGGGTGCCACTTGCTCACCCTGCCTCTGTCCTGCCCCATCCCTGGCAGTACTGGGTGCCAAGGAGCTTCTGAATCCATGGGGGTTTTCCCCCTTTCCATACTTCACTGTCACTTCTCGGGTCTCTTCCTAGGAAGAGCAGCTGGGTCAGGTTGCGGGAGGTCTGCCGGCAAGGAAGCAGGCTCTTCCTCCTTCCCCGGTATTTAAGAAACCGCTTCCGTGCTGCCCAGTCCTGGGCCTCTCCGTCCCATTCCCCGTGCATGGCTGCAGCTGGCACTTCAACATCCCAGAGCCGCACTCTAGCCACCTCTCTGGCCCCACCAGGCATTGCTGCAGGGAGATGGGGAGCAGACCCTGCCTGTATGAAAGGATTGTGTCCCTGAGACCTCCCGGTTTTTGGCGTGTTCTGGGGACAAGTTTGGGGCTGGTTTTCAGCAGGAGCAGGGAGGGGTGCTGGCCACTGCTGGAGGGGAGCCTTGTGCCACCATCCCACTGCAGGCAGCTGTTGGTCTGTGTGGTTGGATGGCTGTTCTCTGTGAGTATTGCAGACCCCCAGGCACCCATTTGAGCTCTGCAATACCTAGGACACCCACTGGGAACTGCACAGGAGAGAACTAGTGCAGGGGGAAGTCAGCACCCAGTGCCAGCCTGCACTGGGATGCTGCCTCAGTGGCTGGGGACAAACATGTTCCTGGCCCCATGGACTGAGCTTGGATCTTTACCCATCCCTCTGGGATGCACTGTGCTCTTTCCTCATCCCCCTAAGCTAAATGGGTATCCTTTCCCATCCCTCTGGGAATCTTTCCCATCCCATCTGGCATCTTTCCCCATGCCAGTATCTTGGAGGAGTTGCAGTGCATTCCCTGGTCACAACAGGCGATGGGTGGCCTGGGACCCTCTGGACGCTGCTTGGGCACCCAGCAGTGCAGCAAGTGGCTTGCTGCTAAGCCTAAGTAGCTTGGGTTTGTCACTTCGTGCTCCCAGATCTGCATGGTTCTTCCATGGCCTTGCTGGGACCGCAGGGAGGGCAGGATGCCAGTCTTTGCTTTCCAGCCTGGCACTGGCAAGGCGCTGGATAGGATGGTCCCGTCTCCCTCTCCTGGAGCTGCTGGCCACCTGGGCAGGAGGCTGGAGCCGTCTTATCTTGCCTTGCGCCTCAGCCTGGCCGTTGTGTTTAGTCTTTGATGCCTTGCAGCATCCTTGGCACCGGCGGCCTGCCTGGTGGGAGCTGGGTGCTTGCATGCACCCTGGGGAGGGCCACTGCTGGCAGTGGGGACGTGAAACGACTGGTGGTGTGGCCAGGGCTGCTGGTCGTATTGGTTTGATGTCATGGCCAGCTATTGTCCTGCACCGCGCTTATTAATTGCTGATGCTGGCCACTACCTGGCAGGCTCACAATCCCATTGATCCAAAACCCTTGCCTGCATTCACTTGCCGTGCTCCCTGGGCTCCTTTGGAAGCGGGGTGTGGGTGAAGAAGCCAGAACCCCCGCAACAGCTGGCTTTGCTTGGGGGGTTGATGACCCTGACCCATGGGTGTTGGCCTTGGCCACCTATATCCCTCCCTGCTGCTGTCCCCACTTGCTGCTGGTGGTGTTGCCAGCTCTGGGAGGCATTTCCCGGCCCATCTGCGGGTCGAGGGCGTGGGGGGCGAGGAGGCAGCGGCAGGAAGCAGGCAGGAGCTGCGGCTTGGGGTGGGACGGGGGCTTCTCTGCTGGGAGCTGTCATCTGGAAGCCATCAGCAGGGTGGGAGGGAGGGAGCCGCCTTCCTGGGGCCACACACGCTGGGCGGCCCCGTGGGGACAGAGCCGGCCGACCCGCAGCCTCCCTCGCCTGCCCAGGGGTCCCTGCCATGCCCAGCCCTGGTGCTGGTGCTGGGCAGCCGCAGTCTGAGCTCAGCAGAGCTGGGGGGTCTGCAGTGGGGCTATTCAGTCAGTGCATCCCCCAGAGCTTCAGGTATGGTGCTAGAGAAACTCACCCACCCGCTTTTGTGCTGGCCAGCATTACAGCCATCATCCCCTCCGTGTTTGCTGCCCGTGGGGGGGTTGGCATCATCATTGCAAAGTGAGGGCGGCAACTGGGGGCAACGTGGTAGCAGGGGTGCAGTCCCCTTCTCCCTTACCTGGTGCCTCTCTCCTAGTTTGGCTAACATCCCATTGACTCCGGAGACCCAGCGGGACCAGGAGCGGCGGATACGCAGGGAAATCGCCAACAGCAACGAGAGACGGCGGATGCAGAGCATCAATGCTGGCTTCCAGTCTCTGAAAACCCTCATCCCGCACACGGATGGGGAGAAGCTCAGCAAGGTGAGCAGCATGCAGGCACTGTTCTGCATGTGAAGGTTTTCAGAGTTCCTTGTTGGGCAGGACAGGGCTGTAAGAGTAATTGGGGTATTTGCTTATGTTAATTCAGTGATGGAGGTCTCTTGGGAAGAGGTTTCCTCATGAGAGCGGGTGTGCGTTGCAGCCCTGGTGTCTCAGAGTGGGCTGGGTGTATGTGACAGCACCCTGTGAGCAGGGTGGCAGGTGCCTTGGCAACAAGGTGGCCACGCTGTGCAGGCAAGTGGGTTGAGGAGCTGGCGCTTGGCTGCCATATGTGTTCCTGAGATGAGTGAACTGGAGGTTCACCATGATGGAAATCCCAGGGGTGAAGCAGAACCTGGACGGAGATGCTGGGGCCAGGCAAGGAGCAGTGCTGCTGTGTGTCAGGCAGGGAGGGAGCTTGGCTGGAGCAGGGCCTGGGGAGATGCCGTGGTCTCTCCTGTCTCAGTGTTCCCCTCCTGGCTCTTCCGCAGGCGGCCATCCTCCAGCAAACGGCTGAGTACATCTTCTCCCTGGAGCAGGAGAAGACTCGGCTACTGCAGCAGAACACCCAGCTCAAGCGGTTCATCCAGGTAACACCTGCTTATGTGCCCCAGGTATGGGGTGGGAAGGGATAGGACAGTCCCGGTTGGCCAGGGAGGGGACATTGTCACTGTTCCTTGGTGTCAGGGCAAGACCCTCTGCCCTAATAAGCCAGGGAATAGAGATGTTTTGCACCCTTCTGGCAGGGCATTGGAGTGCTGTTCAGCCTGGCCTTTGCTTGGCAGGGGAAGAGGGGCTGGGGTCCCATTTTCCATCTGGGGTATCTTGGTACGGCCTGGTGGCTCCTTCAGTTCTGGGGCAGCGCAGTTGAACTATCATGGGTGTTACCCTTTTGAGAAGTGGGTTTGCATGAGGCTGGGGACTGAGGACCAGGGGGGTGGGTGTTCTCAGGGCACAGGAGCTATCTATCCCCAGGTGTAGATCCCACATCCCTGGGGAGACCCTTCCCTGCAGGGAGCTGTGCTGGGGGTTGGTCAAGAGGGTGGCACTACCCAGACATGGTCTGGATGGTGGGGAGAACATCAGAGCTGGTCCCTGTCCCTTGACGCCATGTCCCCTACTGCAGGAGTTCAGTGGCTCCTCCCCAAAACGACGACGGGCAGAGGACAAGGACGAGGGGATTGGCTCACCAGACATCTGGGAGGATGAGAAGGCTGAGGATCTGCGGCGGGAGATGATCGAGCTTCGGCAGCAGCTGGACAAGGAGCGCTCAGTCCGCATGATGCTGGAGGAGCAGGTGAGGCCATGCGGGGCCAGATCCAGCTGGACCCATCCTTTAGCATCCTTTAGCCCTGCCGGAGCTCCTTGGAAATGCTGGTGTGGCTGGAGTGTACCAGGTCATCTGCTCTAGCCACCTCTGTGCTGTGCTTGGCTGTGGGCTCCCTGGCTCTGCTGTGGCCACTGCATGGAGGGGACAGTCTGTGGCTGGGGATCAGGGGGTGCTGTGCCAGCAGCAGGCTGGGCTCCCCACCAATGTCAGGGCTCTCTTGGCTGGCAGGTTCGCTCCCTGGAGGCCCACATGTACCCTGAGAAGCTGAAGGTGATCGCTCAGCAAGTGCAGCTCCAGCAGCAGCAGGAGCAGGTGAGGTTGCTGCACCAGGAGAAGCTAGAGCGCGAGCAGCAGATCCGAACCCAGGTGAGTGTAGATGCTGTCCCAGCCCACCCTGGATGTAGTCCACCCATGGGGACACCCTGATAACCGCCCACCACCTGAATAGTGCAGCTGGGTGCATGGGAAATGAAATACAGGCGGTCGGGCAGTTTGGTGATGTGCTTGGCACCTTCTGTGGGCTAGGCGGGGATGGACAGTGAGGTCCCAGCAAAGCTTTCTCCCTTGGAGAATTGGGAAGAGGTCACTGCAGAGCCCACTCCAGCATCCAGGAGAGCTGCGCTTATGGGGCCAATGTTTTTGGTGGTGGTGGGGGAGCTGCGCTTATTGGGTACCCCATGGTGGTGCGGGGGATCATGGCTTGGACCATGGTGCAGCAGCTTCCGAGCAGCTCTGTTGCCCAGCACGGATGGCTTTGTTTGGGAAGGTTGCTTTCTGGTAGGCAGGGATTCATTCAGCTTGGTGTTAGCAAGCCCACAGCTTTCCAAAGCTGTGCTGGTAGGTGCTGGATGCGGCCACCCCTTATTTGCCCCTCCAGCAGTATGTCCCTCACCGCTAGGCTCTCCCCACCAGGCATGAGTGGAGAGCAGCTCCCACTTGAGTGAGGTGTGGTCCTGCCCCAGCTCCCAGCAGGCACATTTCCTCACCCTCAGGTGATAAAGTGACATCCATCCCATCTGGGGGTGATGCTGGCAGTGGTTGATGCAGGTAATGGTCCCTGTGCTGGGGCAGGTGGTTTGCAGTGGTGTGGAGGCCAGCCCCATCTCTGGCGGTTCACCTCTTGCTGGGTGACTCCTGCTGAGTTCTGGGAACCCCCAAACCACTCCTTGCCACCCACCAGGCTACGAAGGGGGAGCAGTCAAGCTGGCAGGCAGTGGTGCTTGGCAGATGTGGCAGGACAACAGGGATGGAGCTGTCTGCTTTTTGCCTTGGCACAGTTGGATTTGCTAACGGTGGGGGGAGCCTTTGGCCAGCCTGGTGCAGTGAGGAGGCGAGCGCAGGGTGAGCGCAGTGCCGGCACCCGTCCTTGCTCACTGCTGGCACCTGTCTTTGCTTGCAGCCACCCTGGAGCTCAGCCGGGGGGATGCTGGTCTGAGGAGCTTCAAAGGGAGGGAGAAAAAACGGCTTCCTCCCTCCCTTGGCTTCTCTGGAGCTGTGTCCCTGCAGGATCCCTGCCGGCCACCTCCTGGGGAAGTTCAGCCTATTTTTAGGTGAACTCTCCTTAGCCTCTTGCTAGGGCGGATCTTCCCATCTGCTCTTCTAATGAGGAGCTCGGAGGGGTGTGGCGGGTTCCCAGCTGTGCAGGTCAGGACGATGGGAGGGCTGGCACTTGCCTCTCCTTGGCTTAAAAGTCCAAATCTTTCCCTCTTTGGGATACAGGGAGTTTTTTATGTTCCGCTCTGCCAAAGCTAAGGTGATGCAGCTTTCAGCTGGCATCCTCTCGCATTTGGCCGGGATGGGTGAACTGGAGCAGCTGAGCTGCTGCTTCAGTTTTTGTGGGCTCTCAAAGGAGTTTGGTCTCCACAAACAAGTGTGATGCTCTCCCCATCACCACCATGCCCTGGTGTGTTCTGACTTAGGGGGTTTTTATCTTCTCTCCCCAGCTCCTGCCATCACATGCTCCCCCAGCGCCCACCCACCACCCCACTGTGATTGTTCCAGCGCCGCCTCCCTCCCATCACGTCACCGTGGTCACCATGGGCCCGTCCTCGGTCATCAACACAGTCTCCACATCCCGGCAAAACCTTGACACCATCGTTCAGGTAAGGGGGGCACCGGGGAGGACAGTGGCAGGAGTGCCTTGGCGGGGGGGTCCCTCACCCTGCTGGGTGCATCAGAAGAGGGTACACAATGTCCTGATGGGCAGTGGTTGCCCTCGGCAGGCGATCCAGCACATCGAGGGGACACAGGAGAAGCAGCTGCAGGAAGAGGAGCAGAGACGTGCTGTCATCGTGACGCCGGCGCGCGCCTGCCACGAGCCCTCCGCCTCCGACACCGCCTCTGACACCGAGGGCAATGACAGTGACTCCATGGACCAGAGCAAAGAAGAGCCCTCGGGGGACGGGGAGCTGCCCTGACACCCCCGGGCCGGCAGCCGGGCTGGGGACCGGGGCGGGGGGGAACGTCAGAGAATATGCTGAGATTTTTAAAAAATACAACGCGATTTGGGTCTCTTTTATGACCTCTTCCCAATACTGTAAAGCAGAGCGCTAGAGGCAGGCGAAGTCACCCTGCAGCTCCCGGGGGGGGGGAGGCTCGGGGGGGGGTGGGCACTCAAGGGTGGCCACAGGGGACGCGGGGGGCTCGGGGTGCAGTGGGATGGTGGTGGGGGGACATTAGGGATGGGGGGGGGTCACAGCTCCCCACCCCATGTTATCGACCCCCCCCGCTGACCAATGGGAAATCCTGCCAAGTCGTCCTGTGTTCCCAATGGTTTTCCCTTGGGATGGGGCCTTTGGTTGGGATCTTAATTTGGTTTTTCCTTCTCTTTTGTGGTTTGTTTTCTTTTTTTCTTTTTTAATTAAATGTTCGTTTTTAAGCAGCAGGGAGATGCCAAGTGACACAGCAGCAAAGGTGGGACAGGGATCTGGCTTTGGGGTACAACCAGCCCCACCACGGCTCCCACACTGTGCGGGGCAGGGAAAACCCCTTGGGAGACCAAAATAAATCCTGGGATTATGCCATCGGAGCACAGGCGGGAGGGACAGCACATGCCACCCCACAGTGTTTCCAGTGCCCACCTCTTTGGCACAGGGATGGTGGTTCGGGGGCTGATTCCACACTCCCATCCCTGTCTCCATCCCCCCACCTTGCACCCATCTCTCCTTTAAGCACTTAATCTGGTTTGTGGGGTCTGTCAGCTCCAAAGAGCTTTTCTCCTTCATGATTGTGTCGCTTGGGTCTGTTGTGGTGGGTGGGGGGGTCCCCATTCTGTGTGTCCCCCCCACCGCCGCCCCCCACCTGGCTGTAGGGTTTTAGGCCAGTTGTGTGTAGAGCCTGGGTGGTATTTTGTAGGTTCCCCCCCGCCGCAGCTGTTTCTCAGTTCCTTTCCTTTTTTTTTTTTGCTTTTTTTTTTTGTTTTTTTTGTTTTATTTTGTATTTTTTTTTTTTACGATTTTCAGGTCTTTGTGTTGATTGAGAAGCTATTCTATTTTGTTAAGAAAGTGGAAAAAAAAAAAAGAGGCTCGTGCCTTTGTAAAGAAACAAAATAAAGTTTGTACTTGGTTTTTTAGAAGCTCAGTCCCGACATTAACATTTGTGGGGGTGATGGGGACGGCGTCAGCTCTGGGCCTTGTGGGACCCTGGTCCCTCTTGGGGGCCCTGGGGCTGGTGGGGAGGACAGGGAGCGCTGCCTGCAGTGGGAATAGCAGTCAGGGAGCGGGCAGGAGGATGCTGGCCCCAGCAAGGTTTCCTGCTGAGTGACTGGGCTATATTTAAAGCTCAGCCCTGCCAGCGCTGCCCGCACATGCTGCGAGCACACTGGGGCTCAGCTTGCTGCTGCGATGAGGGGGGTCTGGGGCTGGTTTTAGCAAGGCCGTAAGGCTGGGGTGAGGTTTTGTATCCTCTGCCCTGCAGATGGCACCTGTGGTGTTCCAGGATGGGGGTGTCCCCATAGCTGGGGGGGCACTCATCTCCGCATGGCTTTCCATGGGGCTGTTGGCCTGCCTCATGGCTCTGTCGAAGTAGGGGCACCTATCTCTCAACAAGGCTTTTTTTGGGGGGGGTGGCACCCACCTCTTGGCATTTCCCCTGGCTCTGAGTCTTCTCCCACTCCCCATCCACATCATGGTGCTCAGTGGTGCCCAGCTGAGGACCAGCTCCTGCCTGCTCCCTCACCATTGTCCCCTCCCTGACACCTCCAGCTCGGAACCACGGGCTCCCCCCTTGCTCCCACATTTGCAAGGAGAGCTGGGCTTGGTGTGGGGAGGGGGCTCATGTTTTCCCCCAATTTGTCCCTTTCCCAGAAACAAGCTGAGTCATGGCCCCCCAAAAGTGGCTCCTCCAGTGATGGCCTGCTACAGGCAGGCTTTGGGGACAGTGCTGAATGGCTGTCCCCTACAAGTGAGGGTGGCAGGAGCTGTAGATCCTGCACCTCTGGCCCCCACCATCCCCATGCCATGCTCTCAGTGCGGTGCTGGTGACATTGGGAACACACCCAGGCATGTCCCTTGCCTACAGGGTACATGGCATTGCCTGGAATTGGTGATGTGTGGTGGCCCAAGAGGCTCCCAAATCAGCCCAGGACAAGGTGCCTGGGGACACCCACCTCTGGGGACAGATGGGGGACTCTGCGGTGCCATGATGCTTGGCTCTCCCCCTCCGTGAAATCCTGATCCCGCCAAAAACGGGTTGCAGGGACTTGAGGCAGCGCAAGGAGATCCAGTGGGATGCTGTGACGGAGACTGTGACCCCGCATGGGCAGTGCTACTCAAGGAACCCCATGTCAGGGTGCCACCACATCCATGGCTCATGCCATGACCCTTGCCCAGTGCTGCACCACTGCCACTGTGCCCCTTTCCTGTCCCTGTCCCTGTCCTCATCCCCAGGGCCCCCTGGGAGTGGAAGAGCGGCAGCAGCAGCATCTGTGCTGGCCGTGCGGCAGCTGCCGGCCCTGCCCTGTGCCTGACGACGTATAAATAGAGGCAGCGAGCAGCAAGGAGCTCCTGGCAGCCACCATGAAGCGCCTCAACCTGCTCTGCTGCTGCGTGGCCTCCCTCCTACTCCTCAGCACTGCAGGTACAAGCTGCCCACAGGGCTGTGGATGCCTGTGGGGCTTCAGGGTCCTCATGGGGCTGTGGGTGAACACATGGCTGTGGGTCTCCGTGGGACTGTGGGTTCCTATAGGGCTGTGGGTGCCCACGGGGCTGAGGGGTCCCATGGAGCTGTGGGGTCTCATGGGGCTGTGGGTCCCCATAGGACTGCAAGGTGCCTGTGAGGGTGTGTGTGCCTGTGGGGTAGTAGGTGTCTATGGGGCTGTGGGCACCCAGCAGAGCTGTGGGCACCCATAGGGCTGGGGGTGACTATTGGGTACTGTTGGCATCTTTGGGACAGTGGGTGCCTGTGAGGCTGTGGGCTCTCACTGAGGCTGTGGGTGCTCGTCAGGACTGTGGGTTCCTGTGGGGCTTTGGGTGCCATGGGGCTGTGAGTGCTCTGCAAGGTTGCAGGTACCCGTGGGGCTGCAGGTGCCATGGGGCTGTGAGTGCCCTGCAGGGCTGCAGGTACCCTTAGGGCTGCTGGTGCTGGCAGGGCTCTGGGTGCCTGTGGGGCTGTAGGTGCTGGTGAGGCACTGGAGTACCCGGTGAGCCCAGCATGCACCCTATGGCTGGGTGGGTACCCATAGCAGGACAGGGTGACGAGTACAGCTGCTCGGGCTCCCCAGCAACTCTGCCAGGGCTGCAGTCACCCCAAAATGTGCAGGGAAACACAGTGGGGGCTGTGACTAGGAGGGGCTGGGGGGGGGGGGGGGGGGGGGCATGAGCTGGGGTCCCCGCTCTGGAGCCAGGGTGGGCGCAGGGGCTGTGCTGCCATTAACGTGTCCAGGGTCAGCGCCACCCATGGGCGCCGAGGTAGCTTGGTTTTGGGCTGTGGGGACCTTGGTGGGGGCTTCCAGGGTGCTGGGGCACCCGGTAGTTGGGACGGAATGGGGTGGGCTGTTTGCCCTGGGGGTCTCCCCTCCACCCAAAGACCTGCCAAGCAAGACAGCACTTTGGGTGACCCTGGACCCCCTTCCCTGGGCTCTCCTGCCTCCGTCGAACACCCGGATCCCAGCCCTGGGGCCATGCGGCGGGGCGGCATTTCTGGTACCCTTGCTTGCCCTTGAGTTAATTTGGGCCGGTTCTCTGCCTGGCCAGGCTCCGGCGGCCGCGCTGCCGGGAGGGGGGCAGCTAAGTATGGAAACAGCCGTGTAAGGGGACACTGTGCTCCCTGCCGCAGCCCCGGCCCCCCCGGCCCTGTGGCGCTGCGGCCCCGCGCACCGGCACCCGCAGCTGCCGCCTTCCAGCACCCGGCACCCCCGGCCCACACGAGTTTTGGCCTTTTAAGGGCATCTTGGGCCATTCTAGTGGGTAAACGGGGTTTAGGGCCAGCCATGCACCCCGCTGGTGGTGGGGTGATCTCTGTGGGGCCCTGCGTCGGGTCTGGGGAAGGGGTGGCTGTCACCATGGTGAGTGACCACCAGCCCAGCTCTTGGTTGTGCTGAGGCCGGCATGGAGGCTGGCATGTCCCAAGCAGTGGCAGATAGGGAGCAGCCTGTGTGATGCCATGGTTCCAGGTGTGTGACTGGGCACCTCATCACCAGCACCTGGCTCAGGCCAGTGTCGGGATCCTCCGTCTTGGAGGTGGCTCCAGGGCCAGGAGGTGCACTGGGGTATGCAGCTCTGGAGCCAGATCCAAGGGGAGCCGGAGGTCTCCTGCTCATGTGTCTGGAATTTCACCCTCGTCCTGTAGGTTTTGTAAAAAGATGGAAGCAGGTGCCCAGCTTCTGCTCCACAGGGACCAACAGAGTTCTCACAATGGGTTTTGCCCTTCCTTTGGTGCCAAGCTGGGTCCCCAGACCCAGGCTCCTTTGGGGTGCAGAAGGTGTCTCAGAGGGATTGTTCTCCCATCTGTGGGCCTTGTCTTCCCATTTAATTCCCCTTTAGTGAAGAAAAGGTGGGAGGAGCCCAGCAGAGAACCAGGGGCTTCACTGATGCATTGTGGAGAGGTGTGGTCCTCGTGGCAAGGGCAGGTTTGGTGGCGCTTGAGGCCACTTGGGGCCCTGTTACCACTCCTGGAGGCCAGGGGTGGGAAGTGCCCCTTTGGCTTACACAGCTCTCCATGGCACTGGGATCTCCGGCAGAGGCCAGCACCCACTGCAGGGCTGGGTGTGGGCCCAGTGCGAGGGCACTCCCCTGCTGCTCCATCCCTGCTCCCGCCCAGGCAAAGGTGTGCTCGCACCTTGGGCAGAGCCTGGCCATCCCTTCCAGGCCGGGTGGACGTAGTGAGTGCCTGTGACCACTGGGAATAGGCAGTGCCCATCCACTGTGCTTGGCAGCTATGTACTGGGGAGCCCTTGCCCACCCCAGGCACTGCAGGATTGAGTGGGGGCTGTGCTGTGCTGTCACCATCTCCAAGCTGGGTGAAGCTGAGGAAAGCCCTGGCATACTGGTGTTCTCCTGCAGCATGTGCTGAGGGCACTACAGGGCTGGCACAGACCTCTCCTGGTGACAGTGAGCGCTGGTCACTGCCCCTGGGACTCCTCATCCTGTCCCAGCCTGGGAGGTGTCACCTCAGGATGGGCTCCATCACAATGGCCTCATGGCATCTTGGGATGTTCCCCATCCATCACCCAGGACATGTCACCTTGGGGTGCTCTTCATAACCTGGCATGTGTCACTTTAGGGTGGGCTTCACCTCCCAGAACAGAACATCTTGGAGTGGACTCCACCACCTGTGTCACCTTGGCTGGGCTCAGGGCCCCAGGACACAGAATCCATGGGGTCTCCCCACCTTGACCATCCCGGGCAAATGCACCTTAGGGCAACCAGCTTCCCCAGAGATGGGAGACTGCTTGTGTCCCATTAACATGTCACTGGACTCACTCCAGTTCCCCCCCAGGATCAGCACAACTGTGGGCACCACCGCTATTGGGTACAGGGGTGGCCAGTGAGGCAAGGGGCTCGGGGTGCCACAGGTACCCACAGATTTTGGTTGCTTGTGCCACCAGCATCCCTGTCACATTCCTAATACTTCATCTGGAGGACCTCCCGGCCCCTGTGGGTACCTCATCTCTCACAAACTGTTGTCTGAGCAACCTGGGCAGGTTGCTGTGCTGTGACAGTCTCTCCCATCAGAAATCCTTGCCTCAGTGTGCAGGTGACAGCCAGCCAGGCAGGATGGTGAGGACAGGGCACAGGGCCACCAGTGGGTCCTGTGAGAGTACTGTGCTGGGAGGGCTGTGCTGTGCCCTGGACAGCACTCAGTGGGCTGAGCTCTTGCCATGTTCCTGCTGTGTCCCCACTCGCTGATCCACCATCCCCACACAGGAGCCAGCTCTCTATGCTGGAAGCAGGGATTCACCAGGGTGCTGAGATCAGCCTGGCCGGAAGGTCCATGGCTGACCAAATCTCATAAAATTGCCCATTCCCTGGTGCTGCAGGAATAGCAGTGGCCCTGGTGCCTTGACAGGGCTCTGCCCGGCTATTTTCAGCCCATGGGGACATTTCCCTGGTAAGCAATAGCTCGAGGAAGCCAATGCACTCGTGTGCCCGTGGGGGCTGGTGGAGGGGCTGGAAGTCTCCAGCCGGGCACCCTGAGCTGGGCTGGGGTGTTGGCAGCAGCAGCACAGCCCCAGTGCCAGCCAGGCATGTGGCTTGACCCTGCCACCTCCTTATGCGTGGGGACACGGCGTGGATGGGATCAGAGCTGTGTAACCCCATCCCTGTGCGACAGCTGAGCTGGGATATTCCCCATCCTGCTGCTGGGGGTACGGGTGAGAACCCCAGGGCTGGGTACTGCTGTTTGGCATGGCCCAGACATTGCCATGGATTTGAGGATCTTCTGGGACAGCAGATCATCAGGCATAAAATCCAGGTTGACAAGTCCAATGGCTCTCCCTGTCCTGCCCAGGTGACCGGGAATCCTTGGGATGACCAAAAAGAGGCATGGGGAGTCTTCACCCAGAAAGTCTTACACTGAGTGCATGGAGGATATCCACTGGGAAGTGCTGGGGTGGGCTGGTGAAGCCTCCCATTGTTGGGGAGGCCCAGGTACAGTATCAGTGTGACCTCAGGAGTCCCTCTAAAGGAAGGGGCTCCTTCAGGCCCAGCCATGCCACAGAGTTTTCCTCAGGTCCTTCAGCACCCCCAGGCTGCAGACCCCACAAGGGACACCACCGGTGGAGAAATGTTCTTCGCTGTAGAGCCTGACACCTGCCTGTGCCAAAATACATGCTGTGTTCTGGCTTTCTGCTCACTTACGGGCCCAGATCTACCCTGGCCAGGGAGTGGCAACTGCTTTATCTTCTCCCCACCCTGATCTTTGTGTCTTCTGCAAGTCAGGAGCCCAGGTTTTCCTCTAGATCTTCAGGGTGGATGCCTAAAGGCAGTCGAAGAAACACCCTGTAGAAGTGATTCCCCGATTTCATCCCTATATTTAGAAAGCTCCAAGCCTGGATTTAATCCCTTTGGAACAGCCTGGTGAGGCTTTTCTTTACCCTTTCTTAATCAAAATATCATGTAGTTCTAGCCAACTATTTATAGAAATCAAATAAATTTATGTTTTCTTTCAACTAAACTGAAGATCTCCTCCACAGATGAGGTTAGGCTAGTCTGACAAAGCTGTTTCCCATACCCCTGCTGGGCTCTGCATTGAAAAACTGGAAAATAATTGCTTTTTGCTAATGCTTTGGGATCATGAAGCCTCTGGAATGGGCTGCTGTGGTTGGGTGTTCTGAACTTTTGAGTGCACAAGGGTCTGAAGAGCCAACCCCATCCTTAGTCACCCTTGTGCTGTGTCCTCTGGGCCTTTTGAGCTGCTTTGGGACACTTCCCTCTCCAAGGTGAAGGTGTTGGCCTGGCTGGTTCCAAACTGGCACTGGAGCTAGGATCCCACCTGTCAAAGGACTGCCATATGAAATGTGAGCAACAGAGCACTGGACCTTCCCCTGCGGGGCTCGACAGCAGCACCGGGCTCTGCTAGGATGGTGCAGAGTGGGAAACCGAGGCATGGCAAGAGTGGAGAGGAGATGCTGTCCTTTGCTGCATCCTGGGTGTATATGCAAGGCTGGGGTGCCCAGGCCTGATCCCAAGTGAGTGGCACAGCTCCCACTTTGGGCTCCCCTGGCCCTGCCTCCCACCTGGGAGGTGTTACTGGTTGTGCAAGGTCAGGCTCAGGGCCAATCTGCTCTACCTCATTTTCCCAGGCTGCTGACCGGCAGCGGCATGGAACAATCTCCCTGTGCATCCTCTCCCCAGCAGATCCCTGCGGCACCTCATGGCCAGGGCAGGCAGGGGCCAAGTGCCATGGGGTGGTGGCTTGAGCATCAGAGCCCTGGCAAACTCGTGTCAGTCCCCAGCCAGCCCGAGCCCCAGGCTGTGGGGCCATGAGCTGGAGGAGCACCAGGGGTGCTGAGCAGATGCTATGGGGAACATTGACATTAAATGGGGGGGGGGGGCGGGCGAGATCCTGCAGGAAATGGGGGTTTGCTGTGAGTCAAGCAGTGTGGCTGATGTCTTCCATGGAAAATCCTGGATGGCTCTTTTGGGTCCAGCTATTTTCTATGAGGTTTTAAAGGGCTCTGTCAGAACAAAGCAGTCTTGCCTTTCCCTGAAAAGGAAGGGACAGACATTTGGGGTGTAAGCTCCCCGCGAAACCCCACTGGGAGGACAGAGGGAGAGCAGGACATGCAGGAGCTGGAGGATAAACTGGGATCAGAGCAGGGGAAGGGGGCGTGTGAAAATCCACCCTGCAGCGCTGCACATCACCGGCCCCACGCAGGGGGCTCCTATTTCTTCTGGAGGGGGAGCATGTCCCTCAGGGGCCACCTGTGCCCATCTATCCCTCTGAGATGGCCCCTGCCCCGGCGCCATGCTTGGGGGCTGTCCCTGTGGAGGACCCATTTCGGCGCCAGGATGCTGCTTGCTGTTCCACATGGCCCCATGCAGGGATGGTGGTGACATGATGGCAGGGTCATGTTCGGGCTCCAGCATTCACTGCTATGCTTTCTGCATGGGCTTTTCCTTGGTGCAAACCAGCTGGGGCATCCTGTGGCACCCAAAGCATTGCCATGAGCTCAGTCCCCATGGCTGTGCCCCAGGGTGCTGCCACTGGTGGAGAAGGGATCCTCAGGCTACTGGCAGTCCTTCCAACCCCTGCAGATGGGTGTGAGGTTCAGGGCAGCATAAGCTGGGGACCCTCTGGGAGGTGAGGTCCCCATGGGGAACGGGGCAAGGGCTTCTCTCTGATGCCACTCAGCTGCTTGGCACAATGCACAGTGTGAACAAGGGGAGTCCCAGTATCACTTTACAACACGGTTGCCCCCGCTCCCTCCCGGCTCACAGGGACCCACAGGATGGGCCCCAGGTGAGGACGTCACCCTTGGCTGGCAGCAAGCAAGGGGCTGGGGCCAGTGGCTGAGGGAGCCGGTGCTTCGCCATTGCACCCTACCAAGCTGCTGCTTCTGACTCCCTGTACGGTTGCTGGGCTGTATTTTTAGCCTCCAGTGGATGTGAAGAGGGTGTTAAGCCTGTAACCTTCGTCCCATTTCACTGCTCATCGGCCGGCCATCTGCAGGTCAGCACAATTTGGTGTGTGATGGATTTGGAGACCATGTAGGGGAAACAGGAGGGAGAAGGAGGTGGAGAGGGGAGAGGGACTTTGCATGAGATCTTAAAGGTCACAGGAAATAAAGCCTGTGACCAGCACACTGGCAAGAACATCTCAGTTGTAGAGCCTGGGTGGCCATGGGAGGTGGTTTACAGTGGGCACTGGGGCTGCTGTTATGCCTGGACATGGCAGTTGATGGCTGCTCTGCACTCCTGTGTTGGGTCAGAGAGGACACACAGACCATGCACAAAGCCCTGGGGATGCGCATGGTCTCCTTTGCTTGCTCCTCCTGTTCCCTGCTGCCTTGACTGTCCCCAGATGCCATCCTGAGGAGCTATACTCCCCTCCCATCCCTTCAGGTCACTGGCTATTTTGGGGACAAGCTGAGGATATCCCTGTCCCTGTCAGCTAAGAGGACCCTAAGGAGACCCAGGCTGGTCTCCAGGCCTCTGGGGCCAGGCAGCGGCATACTGGCTTCCAGCCACCCGGGGCTTTGCAGGTCAGATGTAGCGTGTTCACCTTCAAGCAGCTCCTGCCAGGCTGAGAGGTCCCAGGGGTCCTGTGGAAAGGTGATGTGAGGAAGAAGCGTGCTGCGGGTGGGAGGGAGGCAGATGGGAGCTGCCCATGACCTATCTCCGTCCAGCTGGAAGCTGAATTGTGAGCCCAGAGGCACCTGTGAGCCATGTGCCAGCAAAGGATGGAGGAGGTCAGTGAGGGCAGAGCAAGGGTGACCCGTGCATCCAGTTTTGGCAGGGAAAGGGGTGGAGGAGGCAGCTCCATCATGCCAGGCTGCACATGAGAGCGACTAGAAACCCTGGCAGGTCGAGGTGCAGCCTGTCCCTGCAGCCTCTGGCATGGCTCATTCCATGTCACGAGCCTGCCACTGCTGCCTGACCGTTGGCCAGCAGCACTACCGGCCCCAGCACGGACAGTGATGCAACCACCGGCCTGGCATCCCTGGCCACGGCAAACTGGCCTGAGTGGTCTGGGGCTGCTGCAGACCCAGCCTTAGCTTAGCCACCACGGTTCCTGTGACCAAGCCAGTGAGCCCCAGCTCTTTAGATGCTTGGCAGGACACGCAGCCGTGCGGCTCCCAGCGTGGATACAGCACAGGAGCAGGAGGAGAGGGCTGGCTGTGCCTGGTGCTGCCCGTGCCCAGCGCTGCCTCCCGCAGCATGGGTGGAGATGGCATTTTTTCCTGGTTGGCATCTGCTTGCCAGCTGGAGTACAAAGGAATTATTTTCTTCTGAAACACTTCCCTGGTATGCAGGCATTAGACTTTTCAGGGGATTATTTAGACTAGCAGCAACTGTTTGTAACAGAGACAGTATAGCCAGTGATCTTTTATTTTTGGCACCCGCTGACTAATGTTAAATTGCACTTGGAGGCCTATGGAAAATACGGATGTCTTCTCCCGGGCCGCAGAACAAACTCATTGTGTCCCCGCCAGCCGCACAGCACAGTAAATGCTTTCCTAGTGAAGGGATGCTCACAATAAATAGCTCCTGATCCCTGCTGCCGGGTCAGGCCCTGCCTGCTTGTGGAAAACCCCTGCTGGGAGCCCTGCATCTGTTCCTCCTCCTCTCCCTTGCCATGGCCGGTGTGATGCTCTCCTGAGGCAGGGCTGGGGAAGGACCTTTTTAACCTGCCAAGTGCCCGTGGCCCCTCAAGCTATGCTTTTTTATTCATTTCCCCCCATTTTTTAGGGCTGCTTTGCCACCTTCCTGCAGCGCTTCATGGCCTGTGGAAGCTGCAGCCCTGGGCAGCCATGGCCGGTGCAGCCATAGAGCCCCCTGCTAGCATCAGCTTTGCCAGTCCCAAACCCCTCTTTGCACCCAGCTTCTTGCAACAGGGACAGAAAATGGAGCTGGAACTAGAGAGGGTTTAGGAAAGAGTTTAAGCCTCTTGATAACAGCCACAAATCCTGCTCTGAGGGCAGGCCTCCCCCCTCCCTGGCACTGACAGGGGGCTGGTGGCCCCAGAAGCCATGTGCCGGCAAGGGTAAGACTGACTGAGCTGTTCTCATCGTTTAGAGCTGCACGCCCCTGGCACGGACCATGCTGGTGCTGCTGCTGAAGGTCCCCTGCCAGCTGCAGAGCCCAGGCTGGAGGAGAAGGCAGCCAGCAGCAGCCCGGAGGAGGACCGAGATGGTGGCTCCCCCAACGCCTCCTTGTCTGCTGCCGTTGAGGAGGGACAGGGAGACGGGGAGGAAGAGCCGGCGGGTGGCCTGAGTGAGGACCTGGGGCCTGGGGATGGACAGATGGAGGAGACCACCATGGAGAAGGGCCAGGAGGGGACCGGTGAGGCACAGGGTCCAGGGGAGGATGCCATGCTGGGCACCCCTGAGGCAGCGCATCATGAAGGGAATGGCGGGCCTGGCCCACAAGATGGACTCCACATCAGAGAGGAAGAGGAGTCTGGTGGCAAGAAAGGAGCCTCTGAGGAGCAAGGGCAGCCTGGGGAAGAGAAAATGGAGGAGCCAAAAGCAGCATCTGCTCTCAATGGGGAAGAGCAGAGCTCAGAGGAAGAGGATGAGCAGGGAGAGTCTGAGGAAGATGGAGGTGAGGGAGAGTCCAAGGAGGAAAGAGAGTCTGAGGAAGAGGAAGAGTCTGAGGAACAGGACGCTGGGCCAGGGGGGGCAGAGGATGAAGGTGAAGGGAATGACGAGAAAACAGATGGCACTTCTAGCAAAAAGAGCCTTGGCAAACCAGCAGCTGCCGGCAAGGAAGAAGCCAGGGATGACCCCATCAGCTGCCAGCACCCACCCTGTGGGGACGCAGCAGAAGACCCACCAGCAGCAGTGGGAGACCCACCAGCAGCAGCGGAAGACCTGCCAGCAGAAGATTCACCAGCAGCGGTGGAAAACCCATCAGCAGCAGAAGACCCACCAGCAGTGGTGGAAAAAGCCTCAGCAACAGAAGACCCGCCAGCAGTAGTGGAAGACCCACCTGCAGCAAAAGACCCACCAGCAGCAGAAGACCCACCTGCGGCAGAAGACCCACCAGCAGCAGAAGACCCACCTGCAGCAGAAGACCCACCAGCAGCAGAAGACCCACCTGCAGCAGAAGACCCACCAGCAGCAGAAGACCCACCTGCAGCAGAAGACCCACCAGCAGCAGAAGACCCACCTGCGGACAAGCCATCACTGGTAGAAACGGAAAGCCCAGCTGCTGCCATGCTCCGGCACAGGCAGATAGGTTGGAGTCTTTTCTTGTCAGTGTGTAGCAGCGAGAGTGACCTACTATCAACCCTGGCAGAGCTGAGCTTGGCACATTAAACTGCGCCTAGTGCATGGCCATCTTCTAACGCTTGTGCTGCCTGCCCCTAACCGCTGCACGGCTGGGCCGGCTGCGGGCATCAAGGACGCAGGCAGGAGCCGCGGATGCCTGCAATGTAGGCGCTCATCGCAGCGATACCAAAGCTGGCTGACATTTTCCTTGATGCAATTTTAGGCCTATGATTTCTCCTCTGGGCTGTGGACGTGGATAAGATTCTGAACACCCAGGTCCCTTTCAGCACCCTCAGACCTCTTAAAGGCTCTTTATCCTCCACCCTTGGAGTCTCCTGGACCCCCAGCTGTCTTGGTGTAAGGGCAGGATGCTGCCTGGGCTAGTGGGTCTCTTGCCTACCAGTCCTTGCCTCGTAGGGGAAGGTGTGAAGAGCTAATTCAGACGCATGAGTTGCCAAAGCACTGTCTCTGGCCATGTTTGGTCAGTAAAAGGCTAGATAAAGAAAAGAGACATCCCGCTCCTAGAAACGCTTGCGGACTTTGGCCTATGGGTTGGGCAGTGACCTTTGGACCCAGATGAGTCTTTCTTTGCTTTCATCTTTAACATCCCAGCTCAAAAATTTTCCATTTGTGCTGAAAGGGAAACCCAGTTTTATCTCTGTGGCTTTACTTGGCAAGTCAAAAGGTCTTCCTCAGCCCAGCACTCAGTAGACAATCCACACAACCCCAGGGCTTGACAGTGCCCTGCTTGCCCCAGGCATCCCCAGCCCAGCCAGCTGGCACATGTTTGTCCCCAGACCTGCCCCCCCAGCCTCCACTAAAGCCTGACCCAGCTCCTGTTATCAAAAAGCACTGCATCTGGCCCTTGGTGTGCCAGCACCTCCAGGGCAAGGACATGTCTCTGTCTCAGGGACACTGGGGTGCCTACCCTGTGTGGAGGCAACCGCCTCATTCTCCCCCAGCCTAGCATGGAGCCACAGGGTCCCCAGGGCCCCATGCAGAAGGCTCCAGCCTGATATGGGGGCAGAGGTGGGAGGAGGGAATGACCTTGCTGTGGATGGGTCAGGCTCTCAAGAGCCTTGCACATGCTCATGTCTCTGGCTCAGTGCACAGTTTCTGGGGAGCGGCAGAGCAGATCGTGCCGGCACTCGAGGCTTAGCCTGGGAAGAGCCGCAGCTGCTGGGGGTGGGCAGGGGCCCCTTTGGGCTGCAGGTGCCACACGTGCTTGCACTACACCCAGCCCTGGGAGCGCTTTCCAGGCACATCCTCCACATTCCCCATTAGCGGCTGGCCCTCGCTCTCCCCCCGGGGATGCAGGACGCGCCTCCCTCGCCAGCCCCTTCTTGGAGCCAAGCAGTTGCCCCTGACGCTTCCCCCAGCAGCCATAGCTCTGGCAGCCTCCGCCAAGCCTCCAGGAGCCTTTGCAAAACAGAGCCCGCATGGCGTGCCAAAGGCAATGGGGGTTACCGAGGTGCACGGTGGTGCCAGGCTTGGGGTGTGTGTGCTCCCCTGTGCCCTCTCCGTGTGCGAGCCCCTCTGTGGATCCTCCCCTTCACTCTAACAGGTCTACTTTCCTTTTTCCTGCAGAAGAGGCTGAAGATGCCAGCAAGCTGACCAAGCGTGACCGGTCCCACTTGGAGAACACCCTCAAGCTGAACGAGGACAAACCCGCCGATGATTTCTCAGGTGAGGGGTCCTGGGTGGCACTGAGCCATGCGTGCCCTACACCTTCAGTCCACATGATCCCTGCAGGACAGCTCCTCACTATTCTGCTGCACCGAGAGCATGGATGAGATTCCACTCCCTGGAGTGTTTGGTTTTAACATTAGTTCTTGTAAACTGAGCAACACTCTATCTTCAGTAACAGCCCTTTTGCTGCTCTTAGGTTAACCTAATTTTGGGTATTCTAAAGACAATCCCAAGGGTTTGCAAGAATTAGGAGGACAGAGAGGCTGGAAGATGCAGATGGAGAATCAGCCCAAGCTGGCCACATCCCTACCCAGAGAAACCTGGGACAACTTGTGATAAAGGGTTGGGATTTCTATTCCAATTATTTCTTGGGTTTTGCTATTATAAGGCTTGCTTCTGCTAGCCCCATGGGCAGTCTAGACTGGAAAGAGATAAAAGCTGTTGAGGAAAAGGCTATTTCCTTCTTTTAGTGAGCAGCTTAAGGGCTGTGCCAGGGTCCCTGGCATCATGGTGGAAGGCTATTTGGGATCACAGGTATTGACTGCGAAATAGCATTAATGAGGGGTGTCCCTTCCATCAGCTGCTGGCATGTGAAACACTGGCAGCACATAGGGACTGCTGCCCAGTGGGAAACATTAGCTGGGGAGAGGCATCAGAATGTTTGACCAGGATAAGTTTGGCCAAGATTTCAACTGTGAGCCAGGTCCCTTGATCCATGGGATCTGCAGGGAGTGCCCAACAGCTTACCTAGAGGGGACTCAACCATGGTGGTGGGGTTTACCTTTCACCTATCTGCATGCTTCTGCCCCTACAGGAGTACTGCAGCGGCTGAGGAAGATCTACCACTCCTCCATCAAGCCTCTGGAGCAGTCCTACAGATACAACGAGCTGAGGCAGCATGAGATCACAGGTAATGCCATGGGCGCTGGGGTCTCTTGCACCATCAGGTCATTGAGATGCAGATAACAGAGCAGATCATGGAAAGGCTTGGATACTTTGTCTTCCTTTGCAGCTTCCCAAGAAGGCCATGAACTTGCTGGGCTTAGTGGACATGCCCTAGTGAACCCAGAGGCAGGCATTTCCGCATCTGCCTTAGCCCATCTGCTGTCAGTACCATCTGTGTAGGCTGAGCATTGAACCCTGCCTGCTTCGGGTCCTCCACCTGCTCAGCATCAATGCCCTGTACCCCTGCCAAGCAGAGATCACGACCCAATGAAACAGGCTTGGCAAGGAAGCTTAGGACCTCTCAAGGCTGGGGATGAGCTTCCTGAGGGTGCCTGGAGCTGGCATCCTTCCTGCTCAGTACAGGACAGCCATGTGGGCAGGGTATCCCTCAAGTTCAACAGCCTTCACTCATCCTGGGAGTTAGAGTTTCCACCCCTCGGCAATTACAGACCCATTGGATCAGGTGAGCAGGTCCCTGTGGCCACCAGCGTTGGCATTGCCTGAGCCCCATTAGTACACATGTCCCTCCAGAAGGGGAAAGTGCAGCCCTGGTCCCAGGATGCTCACAAACTACAGGAAGCTCTTGTGACCCACATGACACAAGCAGCCACATTTTCCAAGCACAGATGACTCAAGCCCAAGCCCAAGATCCCTGTTCAGTGGGGATCCATGGGCAGGGACAGGGCTGTAGAGTCCTCATCACCAGCCCAGGTTATGTCCTATCAAGACACAGAGCACCCTGGACATCATCCACAACCCACTCACAGTGCTTCTGGATGGGTCAGTGGTAGATTTCAAACAAAAGCCCTGCCTAGCTGCCTCCCACAGGCAGTTCCATGCTGCTGCCTTTGCAGTGCCTCTCCCTCTGTGCTGCCTGCCAGCAGTGGGGGACCATTATCTGCTTGCCATGTGGGAAGGGAACATGGAGGCTCACAGGCCATGCTGCAGCCAGCACAAGAGAGCTGCCCCACGGATCATCACCTCATAGCTGCTGTCACTCCAAGTGTGCTGGCCTGCCCCTTCTGCATGCAGCCAGCACAGAGCTGCCAGATGCCTGGGAAAGGAGCACTAGGAGCTGTAGGACTGGCACCCCAGTGTGCATCCCCACAGCCTCTTCAGCAGTGGCATCATGCAGTGAGGACAGCCCAGCCATGCCCTGTCCCAGCTGCCTCCATGCTGGGGCTCACAGATTCAGAAACAGCCCAACCTCCTCTCCAAGCTGATGTGGTCTGTGTTGGTAGCATCACAAGCATCTGCATTTGCTGTCAGCTCAGGCTTGGACACTGTTTAGGGGACTATTTAGGGTTACAGGGGCAGCCTCTAACCCTTGCTTTGCTCCTCACTGCCAGAACACACAGCCCCCAGCCTCAGTTCCCAGTACACAACCCATTTCCTTGCTCAGGACGTCCCAACCTGCCCTTCAGCCATCCTATGCCCAACCAGCCACCTCCCTGCTCCCTTTTTGGGAGGAAGCAAGTGTTTCCCAGGCCCCTGCTCATTTCCTCCCTCCCAGCTCCTGAGGAAACGACCACTAATCCTTGTGCTTTCCAGGCCTGAGGCCCCTTTTCAGCAGACAGCGAGTCCTGGTGTTCCTCTCAGCACTCCACAGTCTGTTCCACTTCACCATAAGGAAAAACCATCCCTCAGATTGACAATCCCCCAGGTCAGCTCCCAGTGTGAGTGCCCAGCACACCTTGCTGTGTGCCACATGGCACCGTCCCAGTGGTGCAAATGCAATCCCAGGGCTGGTAACTCATGCTCACAGCCTCCTGGCCCTAAGGGAAGGGCACATGGATGCTGCATTCCCTGCAAGCCTTGGCTCTGCCATGAGAGGCCCTAGCCACATGCTTCCCTCAAAACATTTCTCTTGCTACCAAACTCCTTAAAGCATCTCTGACATCCCGACCATACCCTAAAACACAACCGTAGCCTGGAATTCTAGTAATTTGCCTTTAATACCCACAGATCCATCTTTTCCCAATCCCCCATTAGCTATGTAATTAGAGAAACCTACAAATTAGAGGGTTGCTGTAGGGAGCTCTTTTGACCTTGCAAGGCAGTGAGGACATGGTGAGGTTGAGGGAGCCTTCTGAGCTGCTTCCTCTGCACAGTGCCTGTGTCCTGAGGTTCCTTGCCCTAGTGGTGCCCTGCAAGCTGGAAGATGTCCCCAGTGCTCCCCCCCTGTACCCCTACAGTGTGTGTGGGGGGGAGGCTGGAGGGCACAGAGCTGCCGCCTCAGCGAGCTGGGAGGAGCGGGACAGCTGGGAGAGCAGCGGGGCAGGCTTGTCATGGAATATGTGTGACCTTTGGAGGTGTAAGCCAATATAGAGGGGTGCCGTCGCAAGCACCTCGCCCCTCCATTTCACAGCAGCCCTCCATTTTGTCTGCCTTCCCAGCAGCTCTGCTCCCACACACCAGTGTAAGCAGGGAGCCCCTCTACTCCCACCACTTGCAAAAGCACCCCTGTAGTTGAGTGTCACAAGGGAGCTGTGACTGCCGTCATCAACCGAAGAATGAACTGTCAGGGTGCATCCCAGAAAGCTCACCCCACACCCTCTGCTTACAGTGTGTTTAAGCCTGGCAGGTGCCGCCCCCTCTTCCCTGCTGCCACCCTCTTGCATCCCCACTCTGCCACCCCTCTGGCTGGGTCTGCCTGTGTTCTTGGCCACAGCAGGACCACCCCATAGGGACTGCCCCTAGCTCAGGGGTGAGGGACTCTCCCAGTGTGATGATGGGAAGCTTGCTGTGAACTCATGCCAGTTTGTAGTGCATGCTGGTAACCCTAAGTACTGTATACTTATATATATATAAGTATATATATAAGAATATACATAAGTGTAAATATTTATGTATATTACTTATGGCCCAGAAAGCCAAATCAGCTGCATCAAAAGGAGCGTGACCAGTAGGTCAAGGGAAGTGATTCTCATCTTCTACTGCACTCTGGTGACACCCCCACCTGGAGTCCTGTATCCAGCTCTGGGGCCTCCAGCACAAGAGGGACATGGACCTGCTTGAACGAGTCCAGAGGAGACCACAAAGATGCTCAGAGGGCTGGAGCACCTCTCCCATGCAGACAGGCTGAGACAATTTATTCTTGTTCAACCTGGAGAAGGCTCAGGGGAGACCTTGTAACAGTCTTCCAATATCTAAAGGGGGCTACAGGAAGTCTGGAGAGGGACTTTAAACAAGGGCATGTAGTGACAGGACAAGGGGGATGGTTTTAAACTGAAAGAGGAGAGATTTAGTTTAGACATTAGGAAGAAATTATTTCCTGTGAGGGTGGTGAGACACTGGCACAGGTTGCCCAGAGAAGCTGTGTCTGTCCCATCCCTGGCAGTGTTCAAGGCCAGGTTGGGTGGGGCTTTGAGTAGGTCTTATGGCTGGTGTCCCTGCCTGTGGTAGGGGCGCTGGAACTGGATGGTCCTTCCAACCCAAAGCATTCTGTGATTCTATATGTGCCAATTATCAAGTTTCCCTTTATAGAGAAAGACCTCCCAGTTGCTATTGTCAGCTGGATATGGGTAAGCCCACCACTGGGGTGGTCAGAGCACTTGTCATGGTTAGTTGCTGTCCTGACCATGGCTTGTTGGGCTCCTTTTGCTCAGTGAATGCTGCTGGGGATGGCAATAACTCCACTGAGCGGAGCAGAAGGGCTGGGTGCTCTCAGACGTGGCAGCTCTCCTAAGGCTGCTTTGTTGAGCCACATTCCAGGTGTGCAAAGCAGACTGGGGTTTAGTGCTTGTCCTGGTAGCTGCAGGTCTTGTTGCTCACAGACTGTAACTCCTTCTCTCCTGCTGGGAATGTGGCCGTCGCTTGGCTTTTCCTGCCCACAAGAAGGCCAGGGCCAGTCTTCATCTCCCTCCTTGGCCTGGGCCAGACCCAGGCAGCTGCGTCCCTCCTTCGACTCACAGTACCTTCTCTCTCTCCCTGTGTCCCCTGCTAACAGCTTATCCTGGACGCACCCTGGGCTCCTCTGCCACAGGTTGGTATCGCTGCCTGCTGCCTGCATGCTGCCAGTCCTGCCCAAGCTCTTTGCTGGCCTGTGGCTTTTTCTATTCACCTGCCTCAGCAGAGCCACACTTTCTGGGCACTGAGCAGACCCTGGCACTCAGCATCCCATGGCACCCATTGATGTCCCCAGCCCTTTCAGAGCTCAGCACGTGTGTTGCTTCACTTTGTCTCTGGCCTGACTCTGCGCATCCCATCAGTCCTCTCCTTCCTGCAATCCCTGCCTCACTCAGCCCTTGACACCTTTCCCTCTTGGGATAAAGATTCCAGAGGCTGCGTAATTCTCTAGCTGTGGTTCAAGGCATTTGTGGTGGACCTGTGGGTAGTACTTTGAGCTGTAGCTTGAACTGGAGGAGCCCATCAGCTCGCCCACCCTGTGGAGGGGAGCTCTTCCCACCCTTCACCCTTCTACATGAAGAAATTTCCCCAAAGGTCCACCCTTGATCCCCTCCGCCTGCAGTTTAAGCTGATGAGCCTGCAGCAGCTGTCCCAGGAGCACAGGCTGGCCCCTGTGTGGCGGCCTCAGCCCCCTGGGAGCTGGAGCTGGCTCCTCTCCCTGCCTCTCTTGCTCAGGGTGTGCTGCCAGGTCCCTTGGAGAAGCAGGAGATGGGGAGACCAGCCAGGAAATACCAGCCAACACCCAGCCTTTCCCCTGGGTCCAGTGCTGGTCCATGGGGACTATGTCCCTGCTGCAATATGAGGCAGGGAAATCCCATCTTCTGGCCCTCGTGTCCCACCCCACGCAGGCAGAGTGGCCAGCGGTGTGCAATGGCAGTGTGGGTGATGCTGGGAGGGTCTCTTGTGGTGATTTAGGTTTCCTGAGTGGTTTGAGGATAGAGCAAGATGTTTGTGCCTGTGTTTCAGTCTGAACTAGGAGAGGAAGTTTTGCTGTGTCCTCCTCTTTGCCCACCATCCTTGGGAAATACTTGCACAGTGCGGGGTGAGCTGACACCAGCCACTTCTGCTGGGCCTTGAAGACAAGAAGGGAGAGACCCAGCCCAGGGTTAATTCCAGCCCCAGTGCAGCAGTGCTTCCACCCATGGCAGCCTGGTGTTGCAAGCAACATCAAAAACCTCCCAGAAAGCCATTGCTTTAGGAAAAATAGACCCTACTTGGACATCCAGGTTGCCCCTACCTCCACAGTGCAAGACAAATGCAGGCTCTGTGGAGGGAGACATGACCTTCCTGGCCTTGTTTGCCAGGTGCATTGCAGGACTGCAGCATGCTCCTTACTCTACAAACCTGCCAGCTTAAAGAAGGTGTTTTAAGCTGCTGTGTTTCAAGCAGGTCCACAGATGAAGGGGTTTAGGGTTTGAAGACCCCCCTGCTCACAGGTAGGGCCTGATCATGCACTAGCCTGTGACTCCTTCTGCAAATGCCACCGGGACATGTCTGGATGGAGCTGGGATGAGCTGGAGCTGGGAGCGAGGCAGGCGAAGCTGGGAGCGAGCAGCCACAGGGTGGCTGGAGAGAGCTGCGGTGATGAAGCTGCTGCCATCCCTGCCCTGTGCTGGCAAGGACTGTCTCTTTTCCCCCAGCTGGACCATCAAGGCGACCCAAATTGGTGCTGACAGATTCAGTGGAAGAGGACATAGCAGGGACAGATGCCAGGCCATCTCATTCCCGAGTGGGAGATGCTCTTTGCTCTCCCAGACCCTGGGCAGCAGCAAGGAGGACCCATGCATGGCGTCATCTTCAGAGCTACTGTCCCACCTGCAGAGCCACAAGGATTCAGTGCTCACAAAGCCTGTGGGGTGCCAGCACGCTGCTCCCAGAGCAGGGGCTAGAGCTGGGCTCGAGGAGCTGTTGGTGACCCAGCACAGCACTGCGGGCATCGCTGCCTGTCTCAGCACAGCGGGGCAGAGGTGAGGATGTGGAGCGGGGCCGTGTTCACACAGCCCCACCTGGCCTGGAGCGTGTTGTGAAAGAGCATGCAGGGACCCGCCTCAAACCTCTGGCACAACATCACAGGGGATAGTAATAATAATAATGATCCAAAACCCCATTAAAGCAGCAAGAGAACAGAGCAGCAGCGATAAAGTGGCACAGAGGAGTGATTAATATCAAAAGTCTGAGGTTTCGACATTTGGTTTTGTCCCATGTGAGAAGATACTTTTGGATCCCTGCAGCTCACAGGCAGTTCACAAGCAGAAGGCTGGGCTGTCCCCCTGGTTTGGACATGGCTGCCCTGCTTTGGGGAGGAGGGTTGAGCTGCACAAATGCTGCTGTGCCGCTGTCATGAGATGTCCCCAGCCCATTCCCTTGCCCAGTGGTGACATGCTGGCCCTGAAATGGGCAGGTGCAGGCAGGAGGAGGCTGGCATGTCCTGCCCAACTCCTGCACCCATGGACAGATGGGTTTGGTGCAGAGCCACCATGCACTGCCTTCCAGCGCCCTTGGGTGGCTGGAAGCCACAGCATCATGTGGGCTTTGCAGCTGCCTGCACCTTGGAGATGGATCTCTGGCTTGCTGGAAGGCTGCTGGCTTCTGTGTGAGCAGCGGCCACAAAGCACTGGGGTCTCTCAGCCACTTCAGGGAAAACAGCTCTGCCTTAGGTGTAGGGCCAGAGTGGGTCCCAAAGGCAGTGCAGGTACCGCATGGGCATCTTCTTGCCTTGGGCCATGGGGGAAGGCTCAGCTCTGTCTGAGGGACAGCAGCTTCCAGCTCCTCCAGTGGCATCCAGCCCCTCCTCTGGCTGGACTCCTGCTGGCAGCCTGGAATGGACCCTCTTCCACCCAGGGAAGGTTCCCACCAACAGGAACTCACTCATCCAGATTTTACTTTCATTCCTGTCCTGACTTAGTCTCCAGCTGACTAGCTGTCCTGTGCATGGCTTGAGGGTTGGCATGGCCTGGGGGCTTCTCTGGCTCTGCTGACTGCCTGCCCTGTGGCCTGGGGGCTGTAGGGGCCAATCACTGTGGGCATAGGCTGATTGCATGAGTCCCGATCAAGTGGGGATTGCTCCTGGGGGCAATGGCTGTATGTGTCCAGGGACCTCTGTGCTCCTGGACCAATTGTGTGGCATAGGGAGGGATCCTTACGGGCCCATTACCAGACTCCTTGAGCCCTTAGCAAACTGTGGAAATAGAAGAGTGTCAGATGGGGGCTACAGTTCATTCTCCTCCTGCCTTTTCCAAGCCCAAAGCAGGGACATTTTCCCAGCCTGCCTTCCCCTCACCAGCTGGAGCCTCACACCCAACTCACACATAGGCAGGGACCTTCTGCTTGACCAGAGGGCTGAGAGCCAAGATGCAGGAGTGGATCCTTGTGAGGGTACAGTGGAAAGGCTTACAGGCAGCTAGCTGGCACAAGGCTTGCACTGAGCTTACCAAGCACTGCACCATAGTGTTGCTCCTTAAACCATGCCAGCTCCCTTTGCATGAGGCATTCATTTGCCTGGTTGCAGCATGGGTACCACATGTCTCATGCTTTGTGGCAGCTGCTCCTACAGCCAGCCCCAAAGTCACTCCAGCTAAATCAGAACCAACTGATACGAGATTTAAAAGACCTTCTAGTCCTCCTGCAGCCTAAGAGAGTACAAAGCTCAGATCAGGTCAGAAAAGTGAGGAGCACGGTGATACCCTGCTCCTGCAGACACTAGGGCCCGTTGCTGGGTGATGCCTTGGCTCGTGAATGGCTGGTGGCCCCAAAGGGTGGCTGTTTCCCCAGCAGCATCATGGTGCTGCTCAGATGGGATGCTCATTACAGCCGGGAGTTAATTGCACAGCGGCGACAGCTATTGTTTCTTCACTTCCTCTTGTTATTTCCCCTCTCTGCAGATGGGGAGATCACTTCCAAGCCAATGGTGCTGTTCCTGGGACCATGGAGTGTTGGCAAATCCTCTATGATAAACTACCTCCTCGGGCTGGACAATACTCCCTACCAGCTCTACACAGGTACCACACTCCCTGCTCCCTCCCTGCTCTGCTGAAAGTGTGCTGATACCTGCATTCTGCCTCCCTGTGGTCAGTGATTCACAGCCACGTCTCTTCGATCCCCCTTATTACAACAGGGAGGTTGAGATCTGTTCTGTGGTACCACACAGAAGAAGTGGTTTCCTGGGGAGAAGGGCATCTCCCACTGCAGCATCCCTGTCCCACAGCACAGGGCTCGCTGCCTCTGACCCCAATTGCAAAAGCAGTGGTCACATCACAAGGACAACTTGCCTATGTATTCTTCCCCTCCCTCCTCACATGGAGCCAATTAATTTGCCCTTCCAGGAGAAAATCCATTCCCCTTCCCGCCTCCTTGCTCCCACAGATATCATCTCACAGCCAAGGGCAGATGTCCGTGGCCAGCTCTGTCCTGCGGTAATGAGGGTTCTCAGGAGGTGGTTCTCCAGGGTGCCTTCTGCAGTCAGGCCACCTCCAGAACAACCAGACCCTGCAGAAATCAGCCCTGCTGGCATTTTCTCAAGAGGTTTGGCAAGAGTTTCATAGCCCTGTTGCTTGCCTTCTTCCAACATCTCTTGGCAAGCAAGTGATGCTCCTGAGCTCCCCAGGTAGTCTAAGGCCAGCCTATCATGTCCATTGCCTAGCACGAATCTCACTGCTCTGCTGTTCTTCTTGTTTCCGGGCAGGGGCAGAACCCACCACCTCCGAATTCACTGTCATCATGCATGGCCCCAAGCTGAAGACCATTGAAGGCATCGTGATGGCTGCCGACAGTGCCCGCTCCTTCTCGCCCCTGGAGAAGTTTGGGCAGAACTTCTTGGAGAAGCTGATAGGGATTGAGGTGCCCCACAAGCTGCTGGAGCGAGTCACCTTCGTGGACACACCAGGCATCATTGAAAACCGGAAGCAGCAAGAACGAGGTAAGGGTTTACTGGGTTCACCTAAGGGACTCCAGGAAAGATGCTGTAAGGATGTGAGATGTACCTCAGCTACTGATTTAACACTCTGTCAGCCTTGGAGCCAGGCTTTGCCAGTGGCTGATACTACAGCAGGGCTCAGAGAAGCACCAGTCTGTCCCCACAGCACTTGGTGGACCAGGACAGATCAGCAGGGCTTCCTGACCCACTTGGTGCCTACTGGGGAAAGCAGTGACATGGCTGATATCTAATCATAGGAGCAGCAGGAATCTGTGGCCAGGAGCAGGGAGAAAGAAGGTTTGGAGGTGGGACTGAGGGAGACACGTAGTCATAGGCCCTGGCACACAGGGATGGGTTTTCATGCCAAGAAACTCTGAAGTGTTTTTAGCACATGTGAAACAGGTTCTAGGCTGCACGGGAAGTCTGCTGTGTCTCACACCCTGTCCAACCCAGACAGTGCGTGAGGCGTAGCAGGCTCACGGTTTATCTATCCCTTTTCCTGAAGGGACTCATCCTGTGCTGACAATTTCTGCTGGATTTCTGTCTTTCTTCTCCCCAAGGTTACCCATTCAACGACGTGTGCCAGTGGTTCATTGACAGAGCTGATCTCATCTTCATTGTCTTTGACCCTACGAAGCTGGACGTGGGCTTGGAGCTGGAGATGCTCTTTCGTCAGCTGAAGGGCCGTGAATCTCAGATTCGAATCATCCTGAACAAAGCTGACAGCCTGGCTACCCAGGAGCTCATGAGAGTCTATGGTGCCCTATTCTGGAGCCTGGCTCCTCTCATCAATGTCACGGAGCCGCCCAGGGTGTACGTGAGCTCCTTCTGGCCCCAGGACTACCATCCGGATACCCACAGAGACCTGTTCCTCAAAGAAGAGATATCACTCCTGGAAGATCTCAACCAGGTGATTGAGAACAGGATGGAAAATAAGATCGCCTTCATACGCCAGCACGCCATCCGGGTGCGCATCCACGCCCTTTTGGTCGATCGCTATCTGCAGACCTACAAGGACAAAATGACCTTCTTTAGTGATGGAGAACTGGTGTTCAGGGACATTGTGGAAGATCCTGACAAGTTCTTTATCTTTAAATCCATTCTGGCAAAGACCAATGTCAGCAAATTTGACCTCCCCAACCGTGAGGCTTACAAGGACTTCTTTGGCATCAACCCCATCACCAGTTTTAAGCTGCTGTCTCAGCAGTGTTCCTACATGGGAGGGTGTTTCCTAGAGAAAATCGAGAAGGCCATCACTCGTGAGCTTCCCGATCTCTTGGGAAGCATTGGCTTGGGAAAGAAGCCCAATGTTCTCTCCTGCGACGTCACTGGCTGTGGCGAAACTCCGAAGAATCGCTACAGGAAGCCCTAAGGTGTTTCTGTGATCTGACCGTCCACGTGTTCCTACCGGTGAATGAGCTTATGTCTTATCTGTCCAAGAAGCCATGGTTTGTTAACCATTTGAGTGCCGCACTGGCAAAGGCTGCTGTATGATGAGGATGTTGAGTCATTGACGTCGATGGCAGGGGAAGATGGGTGGGCATAAGAAAGAGAATAAAAACTGTGAATTCCTGACATTTTATCTTTGTTCTTTTGAGTAGAAGGCAATGTTTAAGCTGTAAGTATGAGCAATGCACGGTGAGCTAGAACTGTAGCTGCTTTTTCACTGGTGCCAGCACTGCGTGAAGAGGAATTTCAGCCTCTGCATCCCTGAAGCCAGCAGGGAGTAAGAATGAGGGCACGGCATGAGAGCACAGGGGAGAGTGGTGACACACTAACCCAGACATCACCGGGAGCCCTGGTGCAAAGCGCTGGGCAAGGAAAGAGAGGCCAGGTCCCAGCTGTTGTTTTCAAGCCAAACTTCCTACAAATCTCCACAAATATTGATCTTGTTTTTCCTTTCTGAGACTTTCAGATTGCCCTGCCCTTTCACTCAACAGTGGAGTTGATCTTCTGCAGCCTTTGCCTCGGTTTTTACCTTATGAAGGGGCTTTTGCAGGGGCATTTGCGGCTCCAGGCAGGTAGCCATGGTGGAATTTGCAAGTCCATGTCAGAAGAAGAAGTGCGCTGGAAAAGAGCTGCCTGCACTGGCTGAGCTGTCCTGGAGGAGGAGGGTCAGCACCTCACATCAGATAGTCCTATGAACAGGATGCTGTGAGCAGGTTTTCCTCCCCGTGGGCCAGCACAGAGAGAGGGCACTTCCTGGCTGCATGTGCCATTAACTTGAAAAACCCAGGCTGGCAAGTCAAGCCTGCAATCAGCAGGGCTCTGAGGATCAAAAGTGTGGCAGTATGACCTTGTTCAAGTCCGTGTGGCTGTTTTTTCAGTCTCTCAGACCCTCATGGTTTTGTGCTCTCTGGAGGGAGGCAGGAACAGGGGGTCACTATCCCATCTGCTGATCTGTTCTCCCTAGGACAATCCAGGCAGGTTTCTGTGGCTTGTTCACCAAACTTCCCTCATTTTAGCCATTTGTTGGCTCACCTCTGCACGTCAGTACTCAGTCCTGGGAGGAGTATTGCTCTGGAAGCATCTGAGCAGGGGGAAGTTCCCTGTGGACAGCTGGCCTTGAAACCTGCCAGTGAAAGCCAGGGGATTAGGCATGGCCTCACCACTTGGCCCTCATGGACAGCATAGCTGGCTGCTGAGCCACACATGAACTGACCAAGAGGTAGATGCTGCTCTGGATGGAGAATGGCACCTTCAAGCCCACCAGTGACCTTCTGAACATCCTTTCTGCTTCCTCTTGCCAAACAACTGCAGCTAAGGGTGCTCTTCAGGAGCTTCTGGAGCACAAATGTGTGGAGGTGCTTGCTGAGGCAAGAAAAATGAAAAAGGAATGGAAGAGGGAAAGAGAAAGCTGGGAATGTAAGGCTGTGTTGTGACGAGAAGGGTGTGAAGGGCTGTGCCCCTTGCCTCCACGTGCCCAAAAGGACATGAGCAAAGGCAGAAGGTCCATAGGAGCTCCATGTTCCCTGGCATTGAGGCCGGGTGCTGTGAAGAAGAGGTCCCCTCGAGTCCAGGTGAATTTGAAGGATGCTGTCCAAGGACTCTCATGCTCCTTGCCTCTGCTTTGAGGTAGAACTCTACATTTGAACCAGACACAAATCTATACCCAAGCATGGGAAAGGCATGGCTCATGCAGAGCGATTTTGCCTGCAGCATGAAGGGGACTGGAGGTCCAAGGGAAGGGAAGCAGAGTATCAGAGAAAGCAGCAGCCAGAGCAACCCAGAGAGAAGCATTGTGCTCCTGAGTCAGTGCCATGAGGTCTCAGACTTGCCCCAGAGCTGCTGCCCCCTCCACTGCTGTTCCTTCTTCTTTCTTGTACATGATCCTGTTGCTCATCAGCATCCCGCTCTGTCTCACCCACTCCTCCTTGCCTCTCACTCTCCTCCGCTGGGCCTGTCTGCATTCTCTCCATTAAGAGCTGATGGAATAGAAACACCAACAGAAATGTGCTAATGCTGCCACTGTTCCTGCCGTCACACTGTGTGTCACTGTCACTGCAAGCAAAGATCATCAAATGTTTCTATTTGCAAGTTCCGCCTCTTTCCTTGCTGCCCTGTCCCCCCAAAGCCCATGGACTCTGGGGTACCCAGGGGTAGAGTCCCCCATCCCAGAAACAAGCTCCGACTCTCCTTTATGGCCTGGAAATTGAAGGCATCATTGCTCTGCTCTCAGGCCGCCCCCATCGTTCTCCCCACTCCTTCTTTTCTTTTGCGTTATCCTCCAGCACTCATTGCCTCCTCTCCTCCCTTTCTCTTCCCTTCAGCACCTGCATGACCTGTACAAACCCTGGCGCCCATGTCCTGGTTGGGGCTCCTCTGTGACAGCCAAACCCCATTTCCCCCCGTGATAGTGTACGTCAGGGTTCTCTTTTCAAAGTGATGGCAGTGGTGGTCTGAGGCCGGGGATAGTTTTTGCTCCCTGTGGCACATGCTGACCCAGCTCCATGCTGGCTCTGGGAGATGCCAACACCAAGATGCTTTCTCTTCCTGTGGATCCAAGTGGCACTGAGTCCCAAGAGGATCGCAGTCCCTAGCCCAGCTCTCCCCAGGCTTTCTTAGGAGAGTTCTGGGAATCTGAAAGCAAAAATAGAGAGCAGGGAGACCTTTTCATTGTGCCAAGAAACTCCAAGGCCCTACACCTGTGGCACTGGGGGGCTGAGCATCTTGCCTTAGAACATCACGGGAGGGAGGGAGCTGGGACACAGCCCCACGTAGATGCTCGTGATTGTGTGCATTGGGATAAAACTGTCAGCTTGAACATCAGCCTGTCTAATAAAACCTGGTATTTCCCAAACACACTCCCTGGGGATGCTTGTTGTATTTCTACTGGTGGTGTGGTGCCGGGGGTGGGATGTCCGAGGGACTGCAGCTGCAGGGAGTGAGGCAGGAGCTCCCACCTCCTTCCCTGCACCCCAGCCTCCTACCCATCCCTGCACAGGACCTGCTGGCCATACCTGAGCCATTTGGCTGCTTTTTCCAACCTGGCTTCCTGAGCCATAGGCACAAAGGAGCAGGCTGACCCCCAGCTCCTTTACTTTGTGCTCCAGGGCAGCATGATCTCTCCTGGTGGGACAGATTATTGCTCCCAGTCACACCAGGAGATGCTCTTTTTTTTGTGCTTCCCCTCTTCCTCCTCCCCTCCCAGAGGCCCCTGCCATGAGAAAAAAACCATCCCTTCCCTCGTCCCTGAGGGACCAGCACGAAGCCAGCTCTGATTCACCCACGGGGGCTGCGGCACAAAGCCCTGGGGAGAAGTGGGAGCCGCAGGGTGGCCAAGCACTGACAGCCATGGGGCTGAGTCACGGCTGGGGGCCCACGCGTCGCGGCAGGCACAGTGCCCGTGACTCAGCCTCGCTGGCAGCACTGCGCACCTTGGCAGTGAGGTGGGCTGCAGCACGTGGGGATGCTCTGCACTGTGGCTGCTTCGCCTCCTTCCAGTTTTGCATTGCATCCTGCCTGCCCTGCCTGCTGCTCTGGGGAGAGCCCTGCAGGGATGCCCTGGCTGAAAGTGGCCTGTGTGCTTTCCCAGGTGGCAAAGGCACCCAGGCAGGCAGGAGCTGTCCTGCAAACCAGAGCCTGCACAGCACCTGGTTCTGGGTCTGCAGTGGAGGGCAGGGGACTGGGGACCACAGTGGAGAGCAGGGGATTGGGAACCATGGCAGCGGGCAGGGATCTGGGGATCACTGTGGAAAACAGGGGGTTGAGGACCATGGTTATCAGGAGGGGCTCTCACCAGTCACCCATCGTGAGGTGGATGGAGGCACCATCCTACTGAAGGACAGGGTTCATGCCAACTGCCTATTATAACCCTACTGCCTGGCCTGTCTGCCTGTCTGTCTTTCCAACTATCTGTCTCAGTAATCAGAGAAGATTGTTCCAAGAAAGCTGGAAGAGGAGAAGGAATGTCTCGCTTGGCCATGGCTTCCTTTGGAAAGTCTGGAAAAACCGTGGCATCCCGACATGTGTGAAGGTCTGCCTGGCGAGCAGCACATTTTCTTTCCAAAGCTGCTGTAAAGATGTGAATCATGAGCCGGTAACACTCCTGGCAGAACGAAAACTGATTCCACAGAGACGTGGTGCTGGCAGCAGCTCTGCTCCATCTCTTGGATGGAAAAGACAATATTTCTCTTAGAGTCATCGTGGGGAAGAGCCACTGGTGCTGCCGAGAGCTCAGTGGTGGCTGGGTCCTTCCTGTGCCCAGGGTGTTCCCACCAAAGGAGGCCTTGAGCAGATTTCCCAAAGGTCTCCCAAAGCTGACAGTGGCATTACCAATATTCAAACACAAGCCCAGAGGTTTACGACCCCCTCTGGTTGCCCTTCATAACCTCAACTCTTTGGTGGCATTTCTGCATTTCAGGGATGAAAATATCCAATATTCCAGCGCCCCATTTGCAACATGGTTTTCCAGGCACCACACTGCGTGTTGCAGGGAAAGACAAGGTGGGGACCATCCGTGTCCAGCCTGTCCCCTGCTGAACCCATGTATCCAATGCCAGGGCCAAAACCCCTCCAAACCTTGCACCTGAAATGCCCTGTGCTGCAACTGGAAGACCCCAGTGGACGTGGCATCTCAGGCTGTCCAGAGAAGCTGTGGCTGCCCCATCCCTGGCAGCCAGGTTGGACAGGGCTTGGAGCAATCTGAGATCCAGCATATTTCAGCCAGCCTGCAGGGAGTTGAAATTATCCAAGCAGTCCTTTGGGGCAGGAGGAGAGAAAATGGAACACAGGAGGGTGAGCTGGTGGTGAGCTTCCTTGTGACTTTCCAGTGCCATTTGCCTGAAGATGGGAATTAATGGGGCTGAGCATGTGAACCAAGCACTCCCGGGGCACGGAACGCTGCCGGGTGCTTCCTGGTAGCTGTGATTAATTGTTGTTAATATTAAATTCAGCACATCTATGCAGGATAGAGAAGTGCTTAGGCAGAAGCCCAGCTCCTGTCCTACCTGTCATTAAAAAACATTGCAATTAAGCCACAGTGGAAGGAAATCTGAGTAAAAGTGGCTTCAGCTTTCCACAGACATCTGTGTCCCACTGTTTCCTCTTCATCTGGCAGAGCTGCTTCTGTTTTC